GAAACATTTCACATGGTCGTCTAGACGCGTTTCTTTATCATCGGAAAATCATTCGTAGCACTCTTATTAAACACAACAGAAAAACAGAAAAATTGAACGTTGCGTAATTGATTTGCAAGCTTCTAAATGCTTGCACCACGAGTGCACCAACGACCGACGACATATAGCCAACGGTGGTTCCTCATATTTATCAGAATAAATACTCTATGAAAAGAACACGTTTTAAGAAAGATATAGACCGTTTCGAGATTAACAAGGAACATCGATCAACCATAACATGCCAATTTTTTATGAAACTGAATTGCTCGCGAAACTAATTCAAATTAAAACAAACTTTATCGCTAAAAACGACAATAAAAAGTTTGCCAAGTTTCGCGTGCAATTTACACAATTTCAAAGTATTTTTTAACGGTAACGGTTAGAAATCAAACACTGATCGACACGAGGTAAACACTACTTTACGAATAATTGACAAACGCTACGCGTGAGAACGTGTAGGAAACCGGAAGTGGTATAAAATTAATCCAATTTCGTGTTCGACAAGTGGAAAAACGATCGTCAGTGACGACTCACCATCGCTCGACGGCATACGTGTACTGCTAGAGGAATCTGCTAAGCGACTTGCGTCTACGTTGCTGCTAAAATCCCGATTGCTTTGCCAGAGGGCATAATATACTATATACATATATATACATATAACAAGTAATAAATACAGGAGACAGGCCGCTTCGAGATTAAACATACTTTGGAATGATTCGATCTTGGACACAGATTGCTCTCTATAGGGATATGTATTTCCCTTTAACGCTGCGCGGTGCTGTTTTTAGCTAGTCGACCCACTTATGGCAACTAGCCATTGCGACGACACATAAATAAATTATTACTATTATTTAGGCTCTGCTAAGAAATTACAAAGAAATTAAGACCGTTCCATTTTTCATCCGTTAGTGTATGTATTCGTTGGTAAGACATTTCTAGGAAACCCTGGCTTGGACGTGTTGTTCAATAATATGTTTTACATTCGATGCACACAAACTGTGATCTCGATCGTACATCGACGACATCTTGTAAAAGACAATAGTCCGATGGTTATTTTTTTTTTTTCGTCGTCAAGAAAGTCGTCACGTATACTCTCCTTTTAATGCCAACGATATTAATTTAATTCGAATATTCTCTGGAACTGTATGTTTTTATTTTTCCTTTCTGCTCCTTGAATTTCACTTTTAAGAATATTTAGTTTTCTTTTTAGGTTATCTGTTCGCGTCGACCTTCTTGCCCAAGTACAGAAACAACCGCTAGATGGCAAAAAATTAAAATCGGTTATTAAATCCCGCAAATTACCGACCAACGATCACTTCATATATGCATAGGATGTGTTTTTACCTACTAGTAGTAAATATTAATTTCCATGGATCGAAATAAGACAGAAATCTAGAATGACGAAACTGTGTTCGAAACTCTTTGTTCGTAGAAAAAAGTAGTGCTCTCTATGCAATCGAGTTTACGTCGACAGCAAACTGCTAATCCATTTACGAATGAATCGATATCGCGGATAGAAGAAAATCAAAATTGATTACCGTTTTGCACCGAACAACCGTTAATCGAGCCGATGATACGCAACGCGAGCGAGCGAGACATGTCTAAATCGTGCGTGCGCGCCTACGACGATAAATCTGCGGTTTCTTATCTATCGAGCAGCCGATTACCGTGATCCTACAGCGATGTTCTAATAACCAACGACACCACCACGAAACTTTGCTCCATAAAGTGTTTCATTTATTGTCGAATCATCCATTGTGAAATTCTATCTAATATTTACCATTTTGTAACGCTATACCTACAGGATAACGAGTAATCGATTACTGGTAGTACTTTTTATCGCCCTGCGATTCATTCCTCCCACAAATTTACTCTCCCTATGTTTTTCAAAATCCTCACAAGCACCACAATCGTTGGTTCCGAGTTCTATCAAGTATATGTACATATATGTATACCTAATTGATCCAAGATACATTTCTATACGTTGGTCTTACGCCATGGACTATATGCAGTACATAAATCGCGCACGAATCCAGGCTTACCCACGTAAGTACTTACATACCATACGCGGCGATGCTATTACTATTTACTTCAACTATACAAACAAATCGTAGCAGAGTAACTGCACCGCGATATTTATCATTATTCACTTATAAGTAGACAAATATAATCAACTCTACAACATGTCTTGACAATTTTTTGCTCCGATATCGTTAACATGTTTAACGACTGAAACTATGATGAAAATGTTATACATATATGTATATATTACATAATGTGTGTGTGTGTGTGTGTGTGTGTGTGTGTGTGGGGGGGGGGGAGGAGTGTACGTAGGAATACGATTTATTAAATATAGCTATAACGAAAATATCAGGCACAAAGAAAACTCCATGTCTAAATTTACCTTTCAACGTGTCATTCGTTGCTGTCAACTTCATATTTCTATAATATATCATTTTTTCGTTAACAAATATTTGTTATAGCTTTGAAATTTACGCACGATATGCACAAATTATTCTTTAAAAAATTTACAACTACATACTACTAATTGTAAGAATGGATTGTAATTATTGATATTATGTAGATATATATGTATTCTGTAATTTGATCAGACACGCAAAGCCTAAACCGAAAATTATGTGACTTGTGAAGTAAATGTAACGATACGTAAACGCGTGTGCGTACTACGCGAGTGGAAAACACGTGCGTAGAGGTTATGTATGAATCAGCGCACAAGAAATGGCAGAGAAACTACTGGAAGAGAAAAGATGGAAAGAGACAGACGAGATAGTGAGAAGGTGAACCAGTAAAAGAGAAAGAGAGACAGACACTAAGGACTACTGCCGTTTATTGGCAGAGGTGAACGACACTGCCTACTGCAAGGTGGATTCGCATAACCGCTCGTCGTTGGAACGTGCCACGAGTTTATGGGTCACTACATACTGTTTTCAAGTACCTTCACACGAAAATAGTGTGAGCTCTTCGAGTTTGGATCAGTTTCGATCTGGAGGCTACCCGAACTTTCATATTTCCTTTCAACTATTTATCCATCTGTGTATATCCTTACCTATACCACCCGCCAATTTAATAAACAAAATTCAATATTTAACAAATTATTTTTCAGCAGACTAAACATCGCAATACCTTTACAATATCTTGACGTTATATCCGTAGAGTAACTTGGAATTAAACTGAGACGAACTGAATTCTTATCTAAATACAAATTTCAAACAACGAATAAAAGACAAACATTTCTATACAATGCAATAAATTATGATAGATAGTGAGTAGACGTTTTTTAACAACCTCTATGTCTTGCGCGTTGGAAATTCACGATTAAACGGAACCAATTCGTTTTATACCCGAATAATAACTGTAACGACACTAACAACGGCTTCTGTTGTAAATTAACAATTAGTTCCGGTACGCATCGTTCAACTGCAAAAGGTAATAAACTTGCTCGGGTTATACATATAATAATGATTTGAAGGATAAATAGCAGGGCAACGGCCCATAAACAAGAGCGGAATCAAAATTTAGAGCTATTTTTATTTCAAAGTTATCAAAGACACTTTTCTACCATTTTATAAATCGACAAAACAAAATCGTTGGTCGGGCAATAAAAGTACTTAGATGACGTAAGGTGGTGACACGCACATGGCGCGACTTAATTTTGCAACCGATCAAATTTAAATTCCAGTTCAGAAATCGTACAATGTCATGCAACTACCCATAACATAAATGCGATAATGTCGTCGTCTCTAACAAAAAGTCACCTCTATTAAACTCAATTTTCGTTCAATCCTGCATACTGCTGTCATCGATTCTGTTCGAGACTTATAGTGCAAGAAAATCGGTCGGGTAACGTCAACTGACCTCTGCTTTGCTGCTCTTCATCGATTTTCAGAATGTACGTCAATACAAAGTACACTGGACACGTATTCACAGAATCGAAAGCTACCCCTCAAGGTATTCGATGAATCGAAATACCTGTCTAATTTATCACCACTTATCAAATACATAGAAATATGAAACACAGTTTCCATTTTCGATGTGACACCGTATTTCGTCTCGAAAAATTTGAGGTTAACTTCAATAATTTCGCGTATCAACATATCGGGAAATCTAATACATCACTCTTGAAAACAATATGAGATTAACATAATATATACATATCATTAAGTCATAAATATGAATAATAAACTTTCCATGTGTTTGGTAAACATTTGAAATTACTTTGGGTATAAAAATAAATCTATACGTCGACTAGAGCTAAAAATCATTCTACCGGTTTAACGTACGATAACAAAATTTTTTTGTCACTATGTATAAACGTACAATTAGTTGATACAACAAATAGCAGAAACATTGAAAATAGCGTACGTAGAAGATTAAAACAAAATTGCTAAACTATTGGCTATAACTTTGTTTATCTTCCGAGTACAATTCTATTGCATCTATACATTCGTTTGTTGCTTAATATCGAAACGACAAGTGCAAGGATATTTTTACTTGATATGTCAAATAAAAACAAAGTATAAGTTATTCTTCTAATGAAATAATAGTATAGTAACGATAATTCCTAAATACCTACTTCAAAACAATAAAACTAATATCATTGTTCAATGTTATCAAAGAGAATATACAGTTTACTGTTTTGTATCGTAACGCACTGTAAAATAGATTTTGATCGATAGTAATATCACAAATTCACTATGGCATACAAATTATAGTTTTGCATAACTATTGCGATATCTTTAACAAAGATATCTTTTAGTCTTAAATTGAAATATAGCGAGACGTACGTAACAGATGACATTGCTTTTACTTAAAAATAAAATAGACATGGTTTCAAAGACTTTTGTACTTATATAAACAACTAATGTCTTTACAACATCAGCATGAGAATATAAATGCAAAGAGCCTGTTGAAGAGGAAACTGTATAAAGATTATAACTAACCTTTAAGCTGTGGTAACTGTTGAAGCTCGATGTCTTGAGAGTTACGATAACGAGACGATCCTTGTGACTTCCTCGCCTTCTTCTTTAGAGATCTCTTGGCAAAGGGATCTATCCGGTCCACAAAAGTCCCTGACGACATGTTGATATTAACGGAGGCACTATGAAAGCTGGTGGGAAATAGAACGTCAGAGATACGTTCGTTCCTTGGTTGTGCTTTTCCAGCGTTGGACACAATTAAAGAGGACTGCGTCCACCCTGAGGAGGCCGCATTCCGCGTTGATGAGGATAAACTCACTACACTCACAAGGAATAAAGCGACACTGCACGAAATAAGAAACCGCACGTGGTGGGTGTCTGGACACGATAACCTACTCAATTCAGGCGTTCCTGAGAAAGAAAAAGGCGAAAATTGATGGTCGTGTGTGCATAGTACAAGAATAGTTTTCCGCGTAACGGAACAACGTGCTAATCGTGATTGACTTGTCAACCGACGAGATCCATCAAGTTTCCAGTTCAATCGAAATTCGTGACGGAATTACTAGATTGCTCGTCTAGTATCGGCTGCGAGAACAGAGGCGCGATCGTTTGTTAGGCGTTGTCACATGCAAACGCACGCCCTATCGTCGTACGCTGAATCTCCCACCTACACCGTGCAACACAGAGAAGCGGCACCGTGTCTCTCCTCGATCGTCATACGTGGACTATGCGTTACCTGAAATTTCCAGGACCGGTGATTCTCACTCTGCCTTTCGATTCTTCAATTTCGAATTCAATTAACTGCACCGTACACTGTGGAACGGCTTCGATGCAGGCTTACCGTGCTTATCGTGCTGCCTGCTTGCTTGCTTGCTTGCTTGCTTGCTTGCTTGCTTGCTTGCTTGCTTGCTTGCTTGCTTGCTTGCTTGCTTGCTTGCTTGCCTGCTTGCCTGCTTGCCTGCTTGCCTGCTTGCCTGCTTGCCTGCCTGCCTGCCTGCCTGCCTGCCTGCCTGCGTGTCGGGTACCAAGAGTATCAGAGACGAAGCACCGTTACGAAATAGCTGGTAGCTCAACTAGAAAGCGGTTACACGCTGCGCGAAACTTATCTTCCGCAGGGAATGATCTTTCTTCTATAACACGCGGCAGCCGCACTCCGTACGTGCAGCAAACGCACACACTCACTTAAACGCCACGACGGGAGACGACACAGAGGCTCGAACAGCACTCGGCCGCCATCAGCTGCTCGGACCGACGAGCTTCTTTCATTTTTGCCGGAATGACCGACAGACCGTCAGGCCTTAAGCCCCACCAATATGTCTTCCAGCATCGTATGTTTTATCACGCGCGCATCCACAGGCCACTACAATTTCGGCATCTACTGCACATAAAATTTCAATGAAAAAAGAAAAAAAGCAATCCCTTGCACCGCCGCCCTCTTCACTTATTGAAAACCCGTCAAGAGGTGCCCTGTGTGCCTGAAAATAGTAATGTGCGCTCGGCAATCGTCGGCCGAAGATAGTCGATCGTATACGAATATGCACGAACGTTCTAGATCGCGCCACTTTCCAAATCTTTACCGTTCCTCGTTACTCCCTCATTTTCTCCACTAGGAACGATTCGATCGCGTTTAACCAATCGCGCTGTCGAGATCCTTTGAAACTATTGGTTCACAATCATCCGATAATTAGATTTTTAATAAACGATAGAGGGTCTCGAGTCAGAGAGCCGTGGGGATTGTTTCTCAATCTGATTGGTTTCCAGAGCCATATTAATATTTAAAGGTTTAAACTTTTAATTACGTGAAAGAAAAGAAAACTTGCAAGTAAAGATTAAAAATACATTCCATGATTTTGAAATTTTTACATATTTAGAATAATGATGCTCGATACATATATGTATAATAAAAAGATTATACAAGTAACGCAACAAAAATGAATTTTTTTTATTTCGATACGTAAATAGAAAGAAAACATTTTTAAATCATATTATTAAATTAATCGATTCAACTAAAATCATATTGACAATTAAAATAGAATTAACAAGAGCTCTGAATTTTTTAGATATTGTTTGTCAATTTTATAAAATCATTTTAAAGTTAATACTACATACGGAGCCATTGAATCTATCGCAAGACGTAAATTCTTCCGATAGATGGATTAACATTGGCGACTTTCAATTAATAGAAGAATCTGGCGTTTCCAGAATCATTTCATGAAACGGAAACTTAGCTCTATATGTATACATATGCGCCATGACCTTGTCTCATGCCCTCCCAATGTAAGCAAGTACATGCTAATTCGATGCGTTGAATGTAAACTCTGACCGAAGATCCTCTATCATGATAAAACGTTACACCACTAATGTATAAAAGAACGATAATCGACGGTGACACTAGTAACGACGAACTTCCTTAGCGTCTAACGGACTGGAGGGGAAAGCAACACACGCTACCGCACAGGCTCTATGTACGTGAGCTTGGCACTTGGCACAACTTTGGAGAATTGGGAAAGAAGGCGAGTGTGAGCTTTTCCTTCTTCCCTTTGTAACAGCTAAAATTCGACCTCACACCAATCGTCATACGATTTCAAATTTCGACTGCCCAGGCATTTTTACTTTATGACCTATGCCATAAAGAAAGTATGTACCATCACAGGCGAGGTATACAAGAAGTAGAGGTATACATATTGGTACTTTAATAATCAGGATTCGTATGTACAGATCCACATTCCAATTTTATTTCTAAAAAAACATGCGGTGAATTAGCTCACGTGTATCAACATTTTGTTAGGTTTTTCATCTCTTGATTGGGCAGTTCTTTTAAGAACTCGATCTTCGTAGTTCATTTCGAACTTTTTGATAGCTTCTCTCTTAGATAGGTATTCGAATTCCTCGCCAAAGGAAGGGTAGTTGGGGCGAGGCTAGGGCGGGTCTCCTTACGCAGCAACCTCCACGCGGTGAGACCTGGGGATTATTATTTACTATGTAATTAATAGCAATTAATATGAGCTAACGGCTGCGTTCTTCTTATACATATAGTTTCACATACGTTCTTCGCCCCGATATGAGGTCCGATAACACCGATTTCGAGTCGCAAATACGTTTTTGCCGAGTTACTTTTTAAATAAATGATGTATTGCAATTTAAAATAAAAAATTAAGGATTTGCGATGTACCTACTCATCAATGAGATAAGTACTTACATCGTATCGTTACGTATTTTAATAATCTTGAAATCTTTAAATAATGTTAATCGATTGGTAACTCCAATGAAATTAATCGATCGATGCTCAATTCTGGACCGTACAGCTTTCATTCCGTTAAAAAATACAAAAATTTCTGTAATTATATTTTCTAATATTATTTAGCGTTTAATTAATAATCCTGTCACTCTTAGCTGGGTAATACAATTATTAATTAAAAACTAAATAATACATATAAACAAATTGGCTGCGATCCGCCTTGCATAGGTTATTATAAATATAGAGCTTCTTCGCTAGATTAGTTTTAATTCTCATACGATGTACATAGTTGGTAGCGCTGCAGTCTTTGTCCATTCTGAATTGATAACGCTAGACTCGACTCGACACCGAAATGGTAAAATGATACCAGAGTATTGTTACAGATCAAGTAGCTTTTAAAATTTATATAAAACGGAATAATTAAAAAACTACAAGACGTATAATCATCATTATCTGTGAGATGATTACGCTCAAAATCTAATCAGACCTTGAAACGAGAATATAAAACATAAATGTTAAGTTTTATTGAAATTCATTCAGCTGTTTAGACGCAATCGTGTTAATAGCATATGTACATAAGTACGTATGCGAGTAAATAGGCAGAGAAAAAATAATTTATGCTTATGCGGACTTATGCCACGTGTATGACGTTGGCAAAAAAAGTGTACTCACCGCTAGATGGCTATGCACAACAGTGTATTCTTCCAAATCTTTTTAAAATATATAAAACTCGTTTCTTGTTAATATCCCTTTTTTCTGTTTAAACGTCATTTCGACACGTTATAACTAACTCATTTACATTTTGCAACAGTTAATCATATACATATCATTGATACAATACCTCCCATCAGATTTCCTGTAGAATCTTGTTAATGGCGTGCACATTGCGTATGTATGCAGCTTTATGTCGGAAAGAATTATGTGAATATTTACGATATCTGCAACGATAAAAAAATAAAATGTTGGAATGAAAGTAGTTTAATTATAAATGTGGTACATACACTGCATACAAATAACGTTATTCTATTCTTTACAAGTTTGACCATGCAACAAAATTGGCTGGCACGAAGATGACACGCGAACAGATCAAAATTCGTAAATATTTATGACGATGATCGAGTTCATAAGAAGTTCGAAGGGTGTATGTTCTTTTCTTAAGTGATTCACATAGGAATACGTGGAAAAATAACGATTGGTGTTTCGCAAAAATGCCATATCGAACGACAGTAATTTTTACGAGTACGGTATTTAGCGATGCTCAAAATGAAATTAAGTAATTCGAAGACAAACAAAATTTAATTACGAGTTTCTGCGTTCAGTGTACGATCGTAATAAAGTGTGAAATGATTTTCGTTTATATTTTTGCAAGGAATATACATAACCGTTCGTTTTAATAATTAGCTTTATATAGTTTCTTTTGTAAGTAGATACTTGTAAAAGTTTAAGACAGAGAACGTAGTATTCTACGACTAACCGACAATAATTTAAACGATATTACAGATATAATGGAATCTGAAAATCCTGTCATGTTGGAACCGTGCGGAGAGGATTCGATTTTAATTCAAACAGTGAAAGATATAGTTACAGAAAGTGCAAACACCGAATTAGAAAGCGAGGAAGAATTTTTTGTAGTAACAGATGTTCAGAATAAAGAACAAAATGTAATAGAAGCGTCTAACGAGGAATCGATAGTAACTCGGTCCGAGGAACGATTATCATGGTCCAATTTATGTAGAATATGTGCCAATATCGGTCATCATCTAATTCCAATATTTGAGGGAGAAGGTTTACAACACAACTTGTGTAGTAAAATTCATAAATATTTGCCTATACATGTAGGTACTCTTACAGTTTTTGATATTAATCAAATTTTTATGTTAAGAATATTGGACTTATTTTGATAATCGTTTATAATAGGTATCTCAAACGGATACTCTTCCACTACAATTATGTTATCATTGCGCAGCGACGTTATTAGCATGGCACGAGCTTTTAGAAGGATGTCTAAATGCAGAAAAACGATTATTAGAAATACAACATGCCTTGGAAGAAAAACAAGTGTGTATTAAACGAAACTATGCGTTTCATGTTTTTGCCCCGGTAAAGGAAATAAGCGATTTTAACGATGTATTAACATTGATTTTCTAGAGCCAGGAAGGTTTAGAAGCTCCGGTACAAGATACATCGGTATACAACATACCTGAATCTCTTGTAAGTAAATATTAATATTAAATATTAATTATTGTTTTTTTTTTTATCGAGTTATTGGTATTTTTTAATTAAAAATAACAGTTGATAATTTATTTCAATTAATTTTCGTATATCTTTAATAGTTGTTTTAATTGTAGCATCAACAACAGGAAACGATTAAGGATGAAGATTATTGGGAATCGGCTGTTAACGATTCAGACAGGTAACAAACAACTTCCTCTATGTAAAAAAAAAAACAAAAAGAGACTTAAAAATTGATTATACATAAAAGCTATATATGTATATTACGTAGAATTGAACGTGCAGAAAATGTGCCCTCTGTAAATACATTAAAATGTAGTAGTTATCGATATAAAAGTGGTTGGTGCATAAAAATAGAATAATGATTAAGTTTTGTCATTTGTATACGTCTAAATATATAAAAATCTAACTAATATACAAAATGGACAACCAGTCTCCCTTAAAGAAAATTTTCTGTATCAACTATTTCTGTTTGGAATATGGAACAAGGATTGCTGTGAATTCTTTTAATCAAAGCTCTTACATATAGTTCTACGAAAAAAGCCGAGACTTATCCAAGAAGTGTATGTAGACGCACAGAGAAAACGAAAATCTATATACGTGTGACTGTAAGATAACAAGAATTAGATTTTAAAGATTATCAAGAAAGATAATCATTCTCGAGTGCCATTGATAATTGGGTCGAACAAGAACAAATGTTGTGCAAATCGTTACGTCGTAGCTGCAAATCTGGAGTCAAGTTTTGACTGTTTTGCAGGTCCAGTAGTATGCGGACACCATTTAAGGTGTTCCTAGACACGCAGAATGTATTTCGGAAGCCGCACAGAAAAAAATACCAGCTACAAGAAAGAAAGGCTACAGTTAGCAGAGACTACAATTCGGTATGGATCACGGTAATGAATTCAACGCTCGATCAACCTGTCGGAATGGCTGATCAGGTGCAAGATAATGATACCGATGTAAAGGAAGAGGTTTCCCAGCCGTACAAGTCAAATTGTTTCGAGAAGTCGAGAGTGACTAATGAAATGTGCAAGTCACCAAATCCTTCGAATACAGAAAATAGAGAGGGAAAGATGAAAGTAAAGCGTAAACTTTGTAGAAATAAGAGAAACAGCTCGAAAGATTCATGCGAAGATATTAAACGCAAGGGTAGTTGCACGGACATTCGGGAATCTTATCGATGCGCCGAGTGCGGGAAATGCTTTAAATTAAAAGATTCGTATTTAAGACATACAAGAATTCATAAAGACGAAAGACCATTTACTTGCCACGTATGTGGAAAACAATTCCGGGATTCCGGTGGTCTTTCCAGGCATTTAAAAGACGTACACGCGAAACTAAAAAATTTCACATGCGACATCTGTGGTAAGTGTTTCGCGTCAAAAGCTACGAGGGATGATCATCGCAGAACGCATACAGGAGAAAGACCTTACAAATGCGATTCGTGTGGAAAAACTTTTAAATCGAAAGCTTCCCTATACATTCACAGTAAATTACATACGGACGAATTTCCTCATCCGTGTTCCTATTGCAACAAAAAATTCCGTAGAAGACAAGAAATGCTGGCACACGTTACTACTCATACAGGAGAGAAGAATTATGGTTGCGACGTGTGTTCGAAAAGGTTCAGAGTAAAATCGGAACTAGTTAGGCATAAGCTAATTCACTCGGAAAGTAAACCGTTTGTTTGCGTGAAATGTGGTCTCGCTTTTCGACAAAAACGTTACTTAAACAACCACATTAAAAGCAGACACGTTGAATCTTTACGAGCATGCTAATATGCGTCTTATAATTTCTTTACACACCACAGTTCTCCAACTATTCGAATAGACCGAAAATATTCAAATCTGGTACATTTATTATTTTTCCAGGTTTGGTCTACTTCCGAAGAAATCCTTTGTGGCATACTGTTCGTGGTATACGACAACGATGTGTGCAAATAATATAATTCAGACCACTAACAAACATAAAGTTGTTCAGAAATTCAATGAAACTAACATAGACGAAAAGATAAAAAGTAACGGCGACGGCGACGGCGACGGCGACGACAACGACGACGACAGCACCAACTTTTTTAACAATTCCGATAGCAGAGATCAATTTGACGTGTCAAATGTAATGCTATGCTCTAGAGAGTGTTCGAACGAGACGGTATTATCAATGAAAAAATATACAAGTTCATCCAAGGAACAGTACGAGTGTAAAAACTGTCAGCGTTATTTTAAGAGAGAATGCCATTTAACGCGGCATACGTCTAAATGCAAAAGTGAAAGAAAAAGTAGCATAAAGATGATAAATGCGAGCTTGGAGGAGGAAAGTGCATCGAAACGGTCGAATAAAAGAAAAGAGAAAAATAGAATGGGCGAGGATGGAAGAAATTGGAAATTTTATCAAAAGTGTAAACGTAAGAGACACGAAACGTATCCGTGCGTATATTGCGATTACACAGCGAATAAAAAGAAATTGCTTCAAGTTCATTTATCGGAGTCGCATTCAGAATTCATGGATAAAAAGAAGAAGAAGCTAAAATACGCTGATCGAGAACTGGTTATGCGTGCTAAGATAGAGGTTGATGGAAAGGTTTATTATCACTGTAATCAGTGCGGTAAAAATCTTTATTCGCCGTATACATTCTTCTGGCACATACGAATACACACCGGAGAACGGCCTTACACCTGTCATATGTGCGGGAAACAGTTTCGCGTGAACCAGGGTCTAGCGAGGCACTTGCGCGACACTCATGCCGGTATAAAGAATTTTTCTTGCGACATTTGTGGCCGACCGTTCACCACGAAGCGTAACGCTGACGATCACAGACGTATACACACGGGTGAGCGACCATACGTTTGCAACATTTGCGGGAAATCGTTCAAGCAGAAGGCTTCTCTCTTCGTACACAATCGCACCCACTCGGATGTTTTTCCTTTCAAGTGTAACCACTGCGAGCAACGTTTCCGCACAAGACCGCCGCTCGCGGTTCACATAACCAAACATACCGGCGAAAAGCCGCACGCGTGCGACATATGCGGTCGTTGTTTTCGCATTAAATACGAGTTGAAGCGTCATCGACTGGTACACTTTGACGAGAAACCGTGGCAGTGCACGGAATGTGATCATTCGTTTCGTCAGAAACGCTACCTAGTTAACCATAACAGACTTAATCATAGCACAAATTGAGTTTAATCGTAGCAGAAACGAGCGAAGCTGACGGAATTTTGGAAAACGATAATGTTATACGTCGTCGATAGGCCTAACGAAAAACGAAAAGAACAGGACGGATTATAGTTGGATTCACCACCACCGCGCGCACTACAAGTGTTGCAACAACAATTTAAATACCCGGATATAATCGGAGAGATATCGTGCATGTGTGTGTGTGTGTGTGCGTGCGTGTCACGTCTGCGGAAAAGAAATTTTGTTCGGCGTCCAGCCTGAACAGGCACGAGCGGCGGCGGCGGCGGCGGCGGCGTCATATTCACACGGGATTAAAAATAATTGTTTGTAAGATATGTGGTCGTGTCGATCGTTTGGCCAGCAGATTCACGCGAGACGAACACAAACGCAATCGTATGGGCGAAAGAACTCGTAAACGAACTCGGAACGCGGAAAATCGTTTAAACAGAAGGCGGGGCATCTCTGCACGTTCACAGATCGTTCGATTCCGAAAACTTGACAAAGGAACGCTATCGAAGGAAGCAAGAGTTAGATAAGCACGTTGTCAGACCGTATCTATCTGCCCGTATTCTTGCGACGTCTGCGGCAAACGGTTCCGTAATAAAGGCTCTGTGTGTGTGTGTGTGTGTGCGTGTGCGTGCGTGCGTGCGTGCGTGCGTGCGTGTGTGTGTCAGCACGTTATAATAATAGCGGAAAATGGCACGTTTATTCTATACGCGACACGACGAGATTCAGCCAAGAACGTTACCTGAAGAGCCACAGCAAGAACTTGCACGAGGCTTCGTGTTCGATGGCATGATATCGGAATATGTTTATTTTACAGGTGGAAGAACGAGTCCGGCGGCGTCGTGCGATTAACGACGATCGAACGCGAAAGTACAAACGGCGAGGAAGTAGAGTACGTCCAGTGCACTCAATGCGATATCGTGTTCGTGAACATGAAGTATTTTATAGATCATATGAATGCCGAGCACGAGGCTCGGATGCATTATTGTCAGTATTGTAAGTTAGTGTTTCATGGTCGAGATAAAGACTTTGAAGAACACATGTTGATACATAAAGACGACGGCTGCGAGGAATTAAAAGATTATATCTTTAAAGACGAAACGATGAAATTCGCGTACGATGAAAAGAAGAAAGAGGTCCCATACAGCGTACAAGATCCTATCGTTGTCAACGTTGCAAAAAAGCAATCGGTTTGTTATACTTGTAACTTGTGCGGGAAAAATTTCACAAAAAAAACTGAATTGAGAAAACATATAAATCGACATTCCGACGTGAATCAGATCCAACATCCGGACGAGATGGAACTTGTAAATAAAGCGAAGCAACTGATCAATCATCGAGTCTCGTACAAGTGCGATACGTGCAAAAAGATTATATTCACGAAACGTGGTTTCTTGCGTCACATTCGTGTACATTTCGACAAACGGCCATGCAAATGTGACTTGTGCGGTAAATCTTATCGAATCGAGCAAGATCTGGCTAGGCACGTCAGGGATGTTCACGAAGGGCTGAAGAAATATGCTTGCGACATATGCGGTCGCGCGTTCGCAAACAAAGGGGCGAAAGATGATCATCGAAGAATTCACACGGGTGAACGTCCATACGCGTGCGAACACTGCCCAAAAGTGTTTCGTACCTTAAATTCCATTTATATTCATAATCGCGTGCACACAGATTACAAGCCTCACCAATGCTCTTACTGTGGTAAACACTTCAGGAATAGGCAGAGGCTAACTCATCACGAGACCACGCATACAGGTATCAAAGCTTTCGCTTGCGAGATCTGCGGTAAAACGTTCTCTGTTAAAGGAGAAGTTGTACGACATCGTGCGATACACAATGAACAGAAACCTTTCGACTGCAAATGTGGCATGAAGTTCGGCCAAAAGAGATACCTTAGAAATCATATAAAACAACATCATAAAGAGGCGTCTTCTTGGTTGCTGGAGGAACTACTAGGAAATAATAACTGAAGCGCGGGGGTTCTTTAAGATAACTGGATGCTTCGACTATTTTCTACGAGTATTATTATTAGCAGCTATATGTATAAATTCAAGTGTACAGTCAGATATACGCGTATTCTATTTGTTTGATGCATCTTTTATATTAAAAAAATCAACCTGAAATATTATATGTAGATTAAAGAATCGATATTAAATCATATCTTAGCGGCGTGTACCGTTTTAAACACAACCTATCTCTCCTTATTAACCACATAGATCGATAATTTAATTCGAACTTGTTCCAACCTAAATACATATACACAGAGTAGTAATACGTTCTGTATAAAAAGTACTATGATTTATTATATAAACTATGTAATTAATTGTACTTACGTAGACGTAGGAATAATTTCAACAATTTATTGATATAATTACGCCAGGCTATTACGAAACCTTACCTTCGTTAATATCCATTGGAAGTACAATTATTCTAATAAAATGTTTAGTTATGAATTTACCATACACGAGAGCATTCTAACGAAAATGGTAAATCTTTATGAAAATATTTCAGAAATCATTTACATATAGTATACGTAAATAATAAATTAGTCTTTTTATTATCTCAATTCTGATATTACAAGTTCGGTTCGATCAAATATAAATAAGAAAGGATCAATGTTAGAAAAATATAAACACTATGAATATGCAATTAGAAGCAAACTATATTAAATACAAACAGATCTGGATGAAATGTGATGCGTTTCTCCTCTTTTTTTTTTATACATGGAATTACGTTCGTAAACGGCAAAGCATTAGCTCTTTTAATTTTTTCACCAATATCTGCAACACATTTATTCTGTTTTTATTTTAATGTTATTATTTTCTTTCTTTCTTTATAACATCCATTACCTTTTCACTGTCTACCGGCGCGCATCTTCTTTTATCCAAAGAGCTGTTTACATCGCTTATATACAATTTACTAATATCGATACTGTTTAATAAACTATCAAAGTCCTCCACGTATAATCTTTTCATATTTTGAACAAGTTGTGAAATATTTATACATTTCTTCATCGTGTTACGCTTCTAAAAACGAAAATAAAGCGATAACGATATACTTGCTTATAAAATTACCGAAAACACTATTATTCGATAAATATAAGATAAACCTTACAAAACATTTTCTTAGATTTCGACTAATTTTATCTTGTCGACAGAGGGCTTGTATTCTTTTACGTTCTGCATATTTGAATTGTTTTTTTATCAACCTTGAGCCTACAATACATCGTACGACGTTCCTTGTTTCTGTACTCTTCCAAGGGTCGTACGTTTCTACATGTTCCTTTAATATTAAAAAAAATAAAACACATAGCGTTTGATTTATATATTAAAAATTATTATAACGTAATGAATGTTGGTTCGAACCTTGCTCCAATTTTTCATTACAGGCGCAGATAGATATTTAACTGTTTCCAAGGTTACTGTACCCGGTCGATGCTGCTGTGTATAACTATATTGACATTTTCTCATCTTCGAACTACTGGCACAGTTTGAGATATGAGCCTACAATGTTACTTTTTACAATTTCCAAATATTTATTTTCTATTCCAATACATGTTTTACAATTACATGTATCATGACTTAACTGATACGATCAAATTTAGCCAAGTGCCAAATACGAAATTAATTACTAATGCTTTAACAAATTTTTCCCTTTTTGCTCTCTTTTTTCGACTATGAAAGTGAGAATTCTCTAACGCGTTAAACCATACATTAATTGCTCTACGTATACATATTCGTATAAATGAATTGTACGTGGTGTTTAATTCGTTGATACATATGTTGGTAATCTGTAACTGTTTGATCATATTAGCAATCATGAACTTACAATACCTCAAAATAGATCTTATCGATCATGTGAAGCGTATCAAATGGACAACGTATCTTCATCGTCGAAGAATAATTTTTGCTGAAATGCACCAAGCGATCAAATCCAAATTAATTTCTTTTAGTACGCAATAAATATGCAATGGGTCGCGCATTAAAATAAAAAACAACAAATATTTAGAATAAATTCTATACCGCGGGAAAACAGAACCCACGTGTTTGCCGCCTAAAACTACACAGTACAAAGAAAGAAGCTGTACAGCTCTAAGGGGATCATTTTATTTCTGTAGAAAATAAAAGACTCGACTGGAAATGTAAAAAATCTATGACGCAAAAAACCAAAACAACCAACGAGAATTTTTTTCTTTACGTAAGAAGCTAATTTTTTAAAATTACCGATAATATAAATAATGGCCGTGTTTTGTTGGTACTTACTTACCTATTTCTGATGCAATTGAAAACGAAATAGTAGGAGGAGAAAAAATAAAAGAAAAGAGAAAGCGTCCTGAGCGTGTTAGCTGGGCATGCTAGTACATAATTGTTGCTTTAGATGCCGAATCCGTACAATAGAAATCTGAGGCAGGTTGAGAACTTGTGAGAAAGCTAAAGGTTGACCGTGTCCCCCTTTTGGCGAGTGCTAGAGGCGTCACAGCAGTATTTTGCGAAAAGCACTATCTGTGTAATAGAAAAAATTCCGTTGTTCGAGGGACAACTGTAATTTCGTAAGGTATTGCGTATTGCGTATTGCGGATTACGAATTACGGATTACGGATTACGGATTACGGATTACGGATTACGGTGTGGAATGGTTTAGCAATCAGCAATCTACGAGCAACGAGTTCCGCCTTGGAAAAGTGGACTCGGCGATAGTTGTATTTTTGGTTATACCAAGAAAATCTTTTGTTGGAAGAATTTAGAAATAGTTTAGATAGAAGTAATTACCCAGGGTTTATGAAACGGTGTGTATACGTGAGGGACGAAAGAGGGTATAGACGATGCATCGTACTTAAAAAGTTCACGGATAAAGAAAAGGGTCTGGAAGTTATCAGTGGGAATTTCTGAGATTCTTAAGTATGCTTGCGTCTATTGTTTCAAGATCATCATTTACATTTTATACTAGAATTCATGATATAAAAATGCATAGAAGGACCAAGGATGAAAAAGAAATTTTGTTATCTCTTGATAAGATTCCTTCGCAAGGCCTGCTGTGCTTTCTATGAAGTACGAATATACATATGTAGTTGTTGACAAGTCTTTGTAAACAAATAAATTTTCATTTTCAGTGTAGGTATATTGAAATAATTTGGTTTCAAGTAAAAAACAAACACGGGGAACCCGTCGTCTTTAGAGGAATATACATATGTATGTATACATTTTCGTGTATTTTGAGATCGAAACAGCACATATCTATAGTTAAACAACCTTGCACGTGCACGTAATAATATATCGAAAACTATTTTTAAGCAAAATACCGACACCATATTATTGCCTGAAATAAGTTGGTCGACACGGCGCGGCGTAACGCAGCAAAGTTAGTGTTTCGGTTATGAATATTGTTTATACATATATGGTATCCATGTTTCGTCAGTTTTTCAATAAAAGAAAATTACGATGGGGGGAAATCTTGTGATTTTTGGTCTCAAATCATGTACACGTAAATATTTAAATTAATGTCTGTAAAATGTGAATTAAGAATCTCGGAAGATTAAAAATTATTAACAATTTCCACTGAAACGTATATTTAAATATATTTAACGTTAAATACGCATAGTATTTCAGAAAAGGTGGTAGGTGTCTCGAAGGGAAATAATTCTTCTCAAAATGCCTGCAACTTGATACGCTTTAAGAAACACATGGTACATACTTACATAAGTAAGTACTTACGTATGTAGCATAGGGCAGAGATGGGCAAACGTTTAATCGAACAATAGATAACGAAAGAAAATCCATATGCAGCAATTTATTTATAACGTTTAATTTATGTTTATTTATTATAAAACATTTTATTGTATTGTTGAATTTCTAATTTCTATTTAACAAATCATAGATAAAGAAACGGTTATGTTATATCTTCTATTAATTAATTGTTTGTTAATCGAAATTTACCGGTAGATAAGAATTTTGCCCATTTCTATTATCGGGAATAGAACGCAGAGTGAGTGATCGAGGTTCTGGCAAAGAGGTGGAAAATCAACGACGAGACGGGCTGGCAAATATATCAGTTTTGTCCCACACAGTTTGAAAGCAAGTGACCGACCGGACGACTGGGAAGGATTCCGGCCGCCGCGCCGTTCGCGTTCAAACACGTATTCCTTCCATCTGTTCTGTATAATATCTCTTAGTTCCCATCGTCAAGCCGGTTATCTAAACGGAAACAATTGATTAATAATTGTGTCCAAAACAAAGAATTGTTTTTTTTTAATAATTTGGTACTTTTGAAACAACGTAATTACATTTATAACGATACGTTTCTTTGCTCGTTAACGTTTCATCTTTAGTATTTCCGTTACTAGTTCTTTCAAAAGGTCAATGACTCGATTCTCTTTCGACACTTATTTCAGATGTATTGAATTTCAGGCTCGTAAAATAAAAAATAGAATCAACTGTATTGTATTGTTTAATTATGCGACCAAGAGCCTGGTGTAATTTGTGAGGTTTGTCAATTGTTGACTAAATTGAACGAACGTACATATATGTATAAAAGATTACTAAAGATGCAACGAGTTCTCAGCTTTCAAATGGCTCGCGGATTGGACGAGTCGAGCGAATTTGTGACGAAACGTATGTGTTTTTCGTTTCTCTTCTCCATCGGTTTCCTTTGTGTTCTCTGTGGTTTCTTGCTCGGTCGATTCTCCACACAAAGGATCATAGAGTCTCACGCGGAAAAGAAACGTCTCGAGTTTGCGGGAAATGGCCTCGAGAGCACCAGGTATCTTCAACATTTATTACTCGAACGACTAGAAGGGGCATCGCTTGATGCCGATTTCGAACAGTACGTTGTATTTCAGTCTTAATCGTAAAATCCGAATTATACTTATTTATACTTATCTTGAAGCGTTTATGTATATGTATAGTTCCTATAATATGTATAGGAACTGTGCGTCTTTAAATTTTACGGAAGACATTGTAGATCGAGTGCATGGAATCCTGTCAAATTTATCGCTTATTGATAGAGTTGTAGTACATCGAACGTGTATCTTTGCAAATGCCCGAGGGTACAGAGAACCTGGTAATTTAAATTCTGTACACGTTTACATGGAATGCGTCGATTCTAATAATTTCCTTATTAATTAAATGTTTAGACAGATATGTTGTTGTATCGGCTAGCGGCGAAGGTGTTGGTATTGCTTTGGAACTGGCAAAGATTATGAACGACATTCAACGGGAACACGATTGGAAACCTCGTCGATCTCTTATTTTCTCTTTCATTTTCGGATCTTCGGACTCCTGTTCAGAAATACTGTTTCAAAATGGTTTCATGCACGCTAGAATTATGGCTTATGTTGTTCTACATCATCGTGTTTTCCAAGGTAAACGTATTAAAGGAATATACATATGTAGAAAGCTAATAATAGAACTTTGGAAAGGAAAATCTTGTAATTTATTTTAATCGATTCTAGGCAGTGGTCCTTTTATTGCGTCAGGGTCCGATATAATACAGTCTCTGGTTTTCGAAGCTGCCAGCATCGTGAAAAATGTACATTTTCATAACGACCGCTCGATATTTTCAAACAACGCGTCTTCTAATAATACAATTTCTCGCCTTGCTTTCGACATACCGCACGCGGTATTGTCGTTCGTGGTAAGTAATGGTGGAGGAGAAGCATGAATATTGTAATGCGATGGTTTTTGTAAAGTTGGAGGTTGCTGGTTTGTAAATCTAGAACAACGGCATCACCTTCGATGAAAATGATCACGAAAGAAAGATGCGTAAAATAATATTAGCCCAAATACTTGGTCAAACTATTTGGAAATTATCCGAATGTTTAATCATGAAATGGAATCCACGTTATTTCGATGAAACTGTTTCCAAAGCACTGCAGTCTATAGATAGTACGAAATTTTTGACGAACAAAGGTACTTTGGATATTTGGAGAATTCAGTTCTTTCAATATTAAATAAGAATATATTTGTCCATTGTTTAGATAAAATACAAGAAACCTCTGACAGATTACTGATCGAGGTGAACATTTTTAATGGAATGATCGACGCAATCGATAGCACCGAGTATGTAATTTTTCAACGATATGTACATAAAATTGTCAATTTTAATACGTATTTAATACGTATTTAATACGTATTTAATACGTATTTAATACGTATAAAAAAAATCTATCCTAATTTCTTACGTTGTAGCATAATCAAGACGAGGATATTAAATGATCTGATGATGGATTTGGATAGAACTCTTCTGTGTTCCGATAGAAAACTTGTATCGAAAACCGATTGGGCAGAGATTTTAAAACTAGCTCATGAGCCTTTTGACATTATATCAACGCGCCTTAACCAAGTATTAAAATGTTACGAAACAGCTGTCCAACTTTTGCAAAATAAAATTTAAAGAAATTTAATGAAATTTAAAGAAACCATTAACCATGGTAATTAACACTAGTTTTACAGGACGCGTAAATGATTGATGGGTTTCAGGTTCGAAACTTGACACATTACAGAACTGAAATATTATTTTTTAGCAACTTGTGTTGAATCGATTGGAAGAAAAACTACATTTTAATGTAACTCTGAACACAAATGGGTTTAACGAAAGAAAAATTATGTGCAACGAATGTCTGTAAATTTAGTGTCGATTACCATTGAAATTTTTCTACGCACCGACATGTGTTTTTACCACTTTTACAAAATATATGTTACTTCTGGTTACGATAAATAATATAAATCTAATATTTTGACAAATTTATATTAACGTACACTTCCTATACCATATCGTATTTCTCTTTCAAACTGCGAAGCGTCAAGCGTTCCTTCTATAGCTTTACAATCTGGATTAAAAACAGAATAAGCACTAAGTTCTCCTAGCTTTTTTGGTCGTGAGCGAGTATTCAGCCACATAAATATTAACGCAGAGAAAACAAAATATACTGCTCCGAATTCAAATTTAATCATAATAATATATAAGGTGACCCATAGAAGGAAGTAGAGTAGGTACGTTACTTTCTGTATCACTGTATATCGTGATCGGTCTATGCTATCGTCCGAACAAGTGCTTTCCATATCCTTGACATCCTGCAAGCTTTTAATTCTTAATCATACCAATCTTGCGCGTCTATTTTTTAATAAATACTCCATCAAGTTTTGTTTAGAATAAACATATTTATTACACGTTAGCCGATTGTTTGCTTAGTCCCTCTACCAAACGCGGCATACCATATAATTAATAGATTTAGTTTGACCAGCCAAGTAAGGAATATCGTTTAAAGTTTTATTATTTAAATGATATTTGTTTCATTCTTAGGTTTTATTGTTTTATAAATAGGAGTAATTGGTTAGAAATATAAATTAACAAGAGTGTTGTCGATGTTGTCGCGAGTGTTGAATAAGGAATTGAGAATAAAAAAAAAAATTACAACCAATTACTGCATCTTGTCAAAGTGTTTCTAACGAGAAATTAGCGAGAATTTGATACGTGTCGATATCTCGCTTTTGAAAATAGAAATCTCATCTCTATAACTGGAAATTTCTAGTAATTATTCTTTGAAAATTTAGGATCGGGAATAAAATGATTAGCATTTTAAAAAATTCAGACAATTTTTTGAACGAGAAAATATCATTTGCGCGTATCAAAGAGTGTTCTACTCGATATGTATAACACGATTCAGTTCGACAGTCTGAATTGATTGGAATATGTTATTTCGCATTTGGTTGACGGTTTATATTTATATTGGAACGTTTGGTTTCTATAATTGCCAATGTATTTATTTAGATAAAAAGTATACGCGTGTCATACTACTGTCGCGTAAAATCCTTGATGTGGACTCGTTAACATAACCTTACCTCAACATCATCGAGTAACGTTGTTGGCAACGAATCCTTGATCGTTTCATCTCCGTTCCATGGTGGGGGAATTTGTATTGTATTTTTAAAAATGTTTGTCATCTCTTGCCTGCGTCTCTGACGTCTATAAGCATTAAGTTTTTCTTTTATATCGAGCCCATACATAACGAATACGAACGTTAACTTGCTGGAAGCGGAGTCAGGTTTGGTTAGAATATTTGGCTGAAGTTTCCAGTTTCGTTTTCGAAAGCGGCGTGTTGCAGTTTGCAAAACGATCAGTGTAGGTCATTGATCGGTTCGTGTTTCGAAGATCCGAATGCATGTAGCGTTGTGCGGATGGTGTGCAATTATCGGGGCGCAGATGTAAGAAAGTGAACCAATAAATTGAAACAGGTTCGATTCCTATCACATACATGTATACATGTAGAATGTATTTTAGGTAGTATGTACATGGTTAAGTAAGTAAGTAAGTAGATGGTTTGAGAGAGAATCCGAAGAAAAGCATATTTAGCAAACTAGGTATAAAAAGAAGGCAATAAATGTGCGATCGATGAGGATTCCGCGATAAATTTAAATCTAAAGGGGAAATCGATTTGGTAAAACGTCACGAGTCACTATCGATCGTAGAGCTTGTTCGTCATTTCCGGAAAGCTAGCAATTTTGCAAACGCGGAGAAAGAAACGTGAAATAGAAAGTCGTCGAAGAGGTCCGTCCAACTACTCTAGTTTCTTAGATGTTATGATTAAAATACGTCAGGGATCAGGATTTCCTGTCTTGTGGTACGTTAATTTTTTAAATATGTATACAATATGTACACGTAGATATGTATGTATATCGAGATAGTTTGTGTACCAGATAGTACGATAGTCGGTGATTATGACCGTAAACGAAACTCAATTTGGCTCTTAATGGCGCCTAGATATATGTATGTACATATCTATGTATAAATAGTAGATATAGATAGATAGTTATTTTACGTTGATCGAATCGAATGGGAATGAAATTTTGTTAACGGGAATATAATCAGATTATGGTAAAAGTTGATAAAAAAAGCTATTAAGTATAAAAATTGTCAGATCGCGTCGGGCAAAAAGACTTTGACCGTAGCGCAGTCTTATCAGAATATTGTTTGTAAAGATCAGTAATATACATATGTATATGTACATAAGTAGGTAGCTTAGCCTGCTGTCGATTTTTCTTAGACAATACCGTTTTTTATGAGTTTTGATTCCTCTATGAAAATGCATCGAACGATAGGTTTATTCCGTGCTTGGACTTATATAAAAGTTGACCAACGTTGATCTAATCTAACTCTTAACCCCTGAGGTCGTCTATGATCTACCGAGTTGTAAGAGTACGCGTTTGTCCATAAGATTTGTGTCCGATTGTACAAATATCTCGGGGACAAATACGATATGAAAAAATGGGCCGGTTAAAAATTGTATGGTTTCCAGGGGGGACATATTGGGCTGTAATTTCTTTGACCTTGTGTATTTTGATCGTTGTAGCCGACACGAAGACGTTTTCGAAACTCTAGCCAAATGTAATTTTGTTGTTTAACTCGTTTCGGAGATGGGAACTAGCGTGATCCGATAACAGAAACACACCGTGCTACGATCGCTCCTGTCTAATGTTTGTAAACAGTTTGATTATATTTGAAAGAGTTTCGATTTGGTATAAGTAAGGCGACGACGGTCGCGCAGAATCGGCTCTTTTCATTATTTGATGAATTTCAATGTGTAGAATGTCGGAGCGGCAGAAGTAGCCCGTGGCGTAGATCGGGCACGTTAACTTTCGAACTTGATCCAAGTTTGAGCATGCATCGTATCCCATATGTACATACATACATACATACATACATACATACATATATCCCTCTTGTCCCTGTATCGTTCTGCTAATCATCTTTCCAGGAATGTACAGTACCTACGTACTTACTTACATATCTACGAGGCATCAGTTTCGAAAGCACGGTCGCGTAAACGGCTTGATCGTCGTCGAGCCATAGATTCGAACGAAAGAAATTGCATAACGAATCATTCCGAATAGAGAGCTTTGTCACGGTAACACGGTTTGCTGTGGACACGTGGAGCGACAGCATGTTACGTGTACCTGTGAACAACGATAATTATGAGCCGAATAACGGAGGAATAATTATAGAAGAACGGAGGAAGAATAGTTTTGATCGTTTGGTCGGTGATGATATCCGCGATGGACGTGTTTTGCTTATCTATACGGGCGGTACGATTGGAATGGTCAGAAATGAAAATGGAGGTACATACGTAGATTGAAATTTAAAAATGAAAAGAAAGAAAAAAAAAGAAAAAAATAGAAATAATAGACTCTGTTTATTTAACGAGTTAATTAAACGTTATAGTTAATATAGTAATGTGTGTTGCGTATCAGTTCTTGTACCAAAGTCGAACATTTTGGTGGAAAAGCTACGAAACTGTTCCGATATGCACGATCGGGAGTATGCGGAGGAACGATTCGGAGCTACGGGACCAATGGTACTTCCGTAAGTGCAGCTAGAAAATTCCGCGACCTGGAAGAAAGAAAAGTAAATGTGCCTCTGAAACGTTTTTTATTGTCAGAATTACCACGAGGAACAGCCGACGCGTAGTTTACAGCGTGTTGGAGTATCCGGCGCTTTGCGATTCCAGTAACATGACGATGGACGATTGGATTCGTATTGCCAATGATATTAAGGTAAAGATATTCGATATCGGTGTTTGAGTCGCGATAAAATCTGTTGCGTAAGATCGGTTCCCGGGAACATGCATACATACTTATGTATATGTTAATACGTGTATAGGTATAAATAAAGTGGCTCTGCTAACTCTGCGTTGTAGAGACGTAAGAGTTAATTTTAAAAATAAATTTCTCACCGGTACACGTATCTCTCTATTATTGTAGGAATGTTACGAGTACTTTGACGGTTTCGTTGTTCTCCACGGAACGGATACGCTGTGTTACACAGCGTCCGCCCTCTCGTTTATGTTCGAAGCACTGGATAAGACGATTATATTAACTGGTTCTCAGTTGCCAATCTTCGATACCAGAAACGACGGTTTCTACAACATTATTTCCTCTCTGGTGATAGCCGGAAATTACAATATACCGGAAGTGTGCGTGTTCTTCGGTACGAAACTGATGAGAGGCAATCGGACCTGCAAAGTATCGGCCACGTCGTTCGACGCGTTCGACTCTCCAAATATTCCGCCTCTAGCCAAGGTCAACATCAATATCGAAGGTTAGCTATTGCCGATTGCCAATAAACTATTGTAATTCCGTGTAAATCGATCGATTATGCGTTGCTGATAAGATGTAAGTCGATAGGTTTCCATACATACATATACATACGTGGTTCGTACGACGTCTCGAGAACCCCACCCCTCACCGTTATAGTTCCGCGATCCAGCTTAGTCGATCGTCAGGCGATCTTCCCCTTCAATCTCTATCTCGTTTGCCTTGTTCGTGACGAGGGAAGCTAGAGCTAGCCAGCCTATCGTCGACTCGAGAGGAACCGCATAAACCTGCGATATACGCATAAACCTGCAATATACGCATATAGTATGCACGTACATACATACATACATACATACATACACATCTCGAGGCGTAGAAAAAATTTAAATAATCTCTTCCCTCGTTGTGTAATCTATCTCGAAGAGAACTACTACTACTACTACTACTACTACTACTACTACTACTACTACTACTACATTTGCAGTGAATTATCCAGCAATTTTTCGGTCCTGTACATTGGAAAAGTTTCGCACGCACGCGTCTTTGAATAGAAACGTCGTGCTGCTTCGTATATTTCCAAGCATAACCACGAATCTGGTGAAGGCGTTCGTACAACCTCCGACCGAGGGTGTCGTGTTGCAGTGTTACGGTACCGGAAACTTGCCTTCGAACCTGACGGATATTGTCCAAGAACTTTGTAACGCCACGAAACGCGGAATTATTATAGTGAACGTTACGCAGTGCTTGGCAGGCTGTGTATCAGAAACTTACGAATCCGCGAAGCAACTCAAGGAAGCTGGTAACTACGAATGTTTTCTTTTATTTAACCAGCATTAATTAAGCTATTTATGATAATAACAAGAACCGTGACCCACACCACGATATACATATGTATACATATGTATAATGCGCAGGTGTGATATCGGGCATTGATATGACATCGGAGGCAGCGCTGGCCAAACTAGCCTACGTGTTATCGAAAAATGAATGGGACATGGAAACGAAACGGCTAATGATGGAAACGAACCTGCGCGGAGAATTAACAACAGCGAGACGATCGTCGTCGCTTAAAGATTTCGACACGGTGGAAGGGATCGCGAGATCCTTGAGAATTTCGTCAACCGTAGAATTTGAGCAATTGAATATGATACTGTTCCCGGCGATTTTCAACGCTGCTGTACTCGCGCGCGACCTTCCGAGACTCGATGCTTTGATAAGATACGTAAGCGAACCGGTCCAACCAACACACGAAAATACGACGCTGGTCGCTGGCCCGCTGGCCCGCTGGCCCGCTGGCCCGCTGACTTTTAACTTGTTGGTATGGTTTTGTTTCAGGGAGCAGATATCTCGCAGACAAACGCCGATGGTCGCACAGCGTTACACATTGCTTGTTGCGAAGGAGATTCGAACGTGGTGCGACGTCTTTTGAATATGGGTGCAAACGTTCATATCAAAGATCGATATAATCGTACAGCGCTTACCGACGCGATAGAGTACGATCACCACGAGGTAAAATGCATACTTACATACTTACTTACGTATATTTATTTCTCGTTCTTCTCCTTTTCTTTAAATCTACATACATACATATATACGTATACGTATACGTATATCCTGATATCGATGGGCATATCAAAAGTCGAGTAGTAGTTGTTCGATCAACGAATGGAACGCATAACCATAAATAATTATTAGTTATTTATCGAATGATTTATTGATTGGAAAGGTGCATTAATTTTAAAATGAAATTACACATACATATATGTAGAGTATATACGGTATAAGAGTGAGGGAAAAAAGTGATAAACATGCGACGTTATCCACAGCACAACGGAGATCGTTTAAAATTTTTAGATTATAAAGATGTTGGTGAAATACGGCGCTCACCTGCATGGAAACGCGTACCTGATAGGGGAGAAAATGTGCGCCGCAGCGGCGATAGGAAACATTAAGCGTCTAAAGTCGTTTCATTTCGCAAACGGGAATCTGTCGGAAAAGGACTTGTCCGGAAGGACGCCGTTGCACTTGGCTGCGTTGCATAATAAGGTGCAAACGATCAAGTTCCTGCTGGATCATAACGTAGAAACGAACAGCTGCGACAAGATGGCCATGACGCCGTACGATGTCGCCAAGACGGCAGGTTCCGCACAAGCAGAATCGTTGCTTCTTTCTACGAACACATCCAACGTTTTATCAACCCTCGAGTGACAAATTACCAAACGAAAGTAACTAAACATACATAGATCGATGATTGTAAGTACCCTTGTAACGACAAGTGTTACAAGAGAAATTATCGTTATTATACGATATAATTACGTACATACGTATGTACATATGTATATATATATATATATATACATTGGCTTTGAACACGTTATCACCGAAACGTTTTAAATAAATGATCGAACGATGACGACGAATATACATAAAATTTCCCACAGATAGTTTTAATACGTACTAGAAAACGCGACACGCGTGTTAAGACGAGTTGGTCGGCGTAACGTAGATCGATATTATTGATCGAGTCCGTCAGACAACAATGCCAAACTCGTTGATCATGGTGTTGAGGAGTTTGGCCGTGATCGGGCAGTCGTTGTAAATATTATCGCAATCGTCGTAATTGCCTCTTCGACCGGCGTTTATGGCCTCTTGAATAATCGTACCGTTCGTCACCTCCTTAAACCACTCGTGACTGTTTTTCAGTCGATCGAAAGACAAGTTAAAACACGAGTAATATTCGTGAGAAGACAGGATTATTTTCCAATATACCTCGATAATCCATCGATTATTTTCTCCATACTCGTCGGACTTTCCGCGTGCGCGGCGACCGAAACGATCGAGCAAACGACTCGTTGCATACACGGAGCTACGTAATTGTTACCGAAAACCATATCGTTGATGGTGTTTTTCATTTCCGACCAATGCTCCTTCTCCTCCGATCCTGTACCGAGTTTTGCATAACTATCCAAGTACATACATATGTATACATATACTTACATGCCGAGACGAATCGTTTCGAATTCGCCCGCCTCGTCTCTATCGTTTCTTTACTTACGATAATTTAGTTGGCTACTATGAGTTTTCGAAAATAGAGGCGTAACCAGACTGAGCAGGCCAGTCAACAGTCCAACTAATCCTAGAGTTTTTGTGTTTACGTGAACCAGTGGCGAGACTTGGCCGTGTTCCTCGTTTCTATGATGGAGCGGTATCGAGACAAAGGGAATGGTTACGGCCCAATCGATCTGAAACATTATTTTCAACCAACGAGCAAATTCAACTAAGTAAATATCAACAATCTTTCACCTTACAACTTACACTAAGCTTTTCTTCCTCCGAGTTAAAAGAGACTAATCTTTCTTTCGAACTATCGGTGAATGTTTTAGTGCGAGTCCTCCGTGTCTTTGAGTTTCTATCGGCGCCGGCGTTCGGATCCGTCGTTGCTTTAGAAGCGAGCAACGCGAACAAAAGTAACAGCTTCACCATGTTTGTCCACAAGTATCGTTCTCCTGTACCTTGCATTCCTAAAATATCTATAAACCGTTGGACCGATTTTATTTCCGATTTTTACGTACATTACAAACTTTTATTGAATTTACTGAATAGAAAACATACTCTGCACAGTATTGTTTATAATTATTCAAAGGATAAAATGTATTTTCTAAGAAATTGGAAAAACGAATTCTCTACCATTTCTGCATAAATGTATTTTAAACGATTAGAAAGGCAATCTGCAGCGGGGCGAATACACGTAAACTACAAGTAACGACGATAGAAAGCTGTCTGTGAAAAAGAGTGTTCATCTTGTAACAGCCTGCTGGTAGTAACGTACATTTAAAACAAACTATAAATCGTCTGCACTTTATCGATATTTTTCCAATACTTACGTGTACGCTGTTGATGAATCGACTAATTGTAGGCGAGTGCAAAAATACGTATGGCGAATCCTTGATCCTGTTGACAGTTTTTGTACAGAAGCAGAGGTAGTGGGTACCTAGACGTCGCGTCGACAAATAGGAAATTTTCACCGGTGGAATTAACGAACCTAAAAGAGATTTCTGGTCAAATTACTGCCGCGAAACTAACCATTCGCTGTAGCTATTATGCCAGTCACCGTTACGGTTAAAAACTCTGTAGATTTGCGCTTACAATTCCATGTTTCGTAATTGCGTTTATTTGTACCCGCGCGTTTCGTTATTTTCACGGTGAGAAGAACCTCACCTAGCTCGCCTTTCAACAGACTCGTATGCAATTTTACATACCAGTTACATATTTATTACATTTTCATTATTTCAAAGAAACTGCTAGATTCAGGTGACTATACGTAAAGTAGAACGTCTTTTAAAAGTGACTTTTAAACGGGAGACGCTGGGAGCATTTAATAATTTTTCTATGCACTCGTATGCGGAATTTATGCGTGCAGTCGTCACACGGTGTACGGGAGCTGACTTTCGTAAATTTTCCAAGGCAAACTGCGGAACGAATTACTCGTGTAAAAATCAACCAGACGCAAATTAAAACGAACGCATTGGTTTTGGTACATATTTTGGTTTCGCGAGGTCTCGCAGGTCTCGCATCCAATATTTAATCTTTAATCTTTTCATTGATGCTCGAATTACACAGATTCGTAAATCACGGCAATTATTCCCGGCGGCGACCGTCCGTTCTGTTCCTTCAGGAGAGACGAAAGAGTCACGCACCGTGATAACAACGTCCCCATGAGAATCCAACAACGAAAGCGAAACCACCGGGTCCAATTATGTCCACGGTTCGTCGTGTCGTGACGACGACCGACCAACAGAGTAGGTGTATCGCTATATATTCGAGAAATCACCTTCGTGTCGTTCAGTTTCTTCGAAACCGATTCATACGACAGTCTATCAAAGAAACATTCGTTTGCTCTTATTTGCTTTTGCCCCGAACAAGGTACAGTTTAGTCGGTTAGGTGGCTCGATGATAAACCAAACTTTTACGTTTTTTCCTTTATACTTTCATGTTTAATTGAAATAGTACCTGGTTTTCTTTAATTCACGTATCTTTTTATTTTTCACAGATGTCGCTAAATTTTCGAAACTTTATTTTTCTGCTTCTGACTGGGACAACGGTTGTCAGAAGTAGTCCGAAACTCGCCGATGGAGGGTAAGAAGAATATCTGTTTAGAGATCGGTTCATTCGACCGAGAGGGAACATAGTTCCCTTAGTTTTTCCTCCATGCTCGGAATTTATCGGTAACAAGAAATTTTCCAGTTTCGTAGTAAATACATTAGCATTTCGCATACAGATTCATTCCGAGTTCTATGATTTACTTGGAGAAGAGCCGAAAATCCCCCGCAGACCAGCCAACTATGCCATCCCATGTCGATCTACGAAGCGAAACGACGATGAAACGCGACGACACGAATGCCAATGATATCACGAACCGCATTCAAGAACCTCGATTTGGTTTCACCAACATCGGCAGTACAGGGACCGTGAGTAGCTATCGTCGCGTATCGCGTTTCACGTTTCCAAAACAACATCGTTTACTTGCAAATTAAAATCACTGTAGGGTTACGGAGCGTCAACTTATGCGCCAGCAAAGATAGACCTGGGTGGACTGTTACTGGGCGCAATCATTGGAGTAGGTTCAATCCTAATCATACCCAAATTGTTGTATGTCCTCTCCGGCACCTATGGTCACTATGCAAGAAGTAAGTATACTTTTTCGTAGATAGATTTACTCGTAGTTGCGTATCTAATGACGGTCGTCGACGATAGCGGTTAACGGATCTCGATTCCATCAAAGCTACTATAATATAAATCCCTATAATCGATCAACGACTTTATACGGCCTGATACGGCTGTTACGCAAACGGGCAAACGGGCAAACGGGCAAACGGGCAAACGGGCAAACGGGCAAACGGGCAAACGGGCAAACTCGGGCACCATTTAGTTCCAATAACTTGCTCAAACTTGGAATCAAACAGATTTATTCGAAAATAACGGACAAAAAATTGTTCCTGTAAATATCGTTCGCTGATTCACTCGTTTACTCATTTATTCATTAATTCGTTCGCTAATACGTCGTTACTCCCTGTTTGTAAAATTTAAAACGCAAATGTACATGTGTAGAAACTGGACGACTATCTTTTAAATAGGCACTCGCGTGCAAGCATGTTTAATGCCAGTACGCCGGTGACATTATCCTGGTCTTTTCGTGGTGTCCAGCATGCGTACGTTAAAAAATGTAATATGCATGTATACGTATGTATACATATGTATAGATTCGTGTAACGGTAAGGTTTGCCAATACGTAGGAAACAGCAATATCGCGTCGCGTCGTATATTCATCTTTACACACCGACACTTTTCAATTGTAGGCGAGGAAAACGGTGTTTCCGAAATTGTAACCAAACTGGACGACGTTCTGGCTCGTCACGGCATCGACTCGACCTCCTGTATGCAACGTGCTGTGTGCAGCTACTCGCAACGAGCAGCAGCGTCGTCCAGCAAACAGGCGAACCAGCTCGACGACGATCAACAAGAAGAACAAGTCTCGTCGTTGGATCGAATGATCGATGCGATAACAACGAATCGGATATTTCGTACGGCCATGGAAGGAACAGCGATTCAGGAAGCGGTGGAAGCCGGAAGAACCGGTCGAAATTGTTCAAAGTCTTATCCTCACTGTGGCTTTTCCATGGAGACGATCTTGTCCCTTGTCTCGAACGCGATGACCGCTGTTGCCGCGGTAAACGCAGTACCATCGACGACAGCCACTCTATCCTGAACGTTTTTTAACCGAGCTCTAGACAACTATATGTATAAAGAAATATGTAATTCGCGTATATGTATATACGATCAACGTTTCGCTTTTCGAAACTTGACGAGACTTGTATGGTTAAAGCAGGCTTCTCTAAGAAATCTTTGCAAGTTTAAAGTTTCTTTCTTATTCGTTGATGAAAAATATCTATAGAATTGTGATTAAACGATTGTAATAATACGTTAACGCCGTACGACGTAGCGGATTTCGGACACGTTGGTGTACGGTTTCGTTCGATCAAACATAGCTCATAGATTCTTTATCGTAACGATTAATGACCAGTTCCGGATGGAGCGACGTACCTTAGAAGCATAAGCAAAATAGTTGCAGGCAACTCCTCGACGAATTAGTAATTAAAACCAAATTCACACCCAGACATCCCTGTACGTTGCTTTTTATTTCACCGTCTTACACTAGCGTAAACAAAAATAGAAGTGAAATTCCACGGGCATAAAGCGAACAGGGTCGTTACTCTGTGCACTTTTCCGCGCAATCCTGACCATGTATACATACAGAGGTACTTTCCAACAAATCCATGTATCGCTACATACAGTTGTTTTCTTTTTTCGCAGTTATCGCGCGAGGCAAACAGAACCGTACCAAGATAATTACACGGCGCAACAGTTTTCAAATCTAAATCGCATTGTTGGCGCATTGTTGGCGCATTGTTGGCGCATTGTTGTCGCGTTGTTCAGAATCGATAGAAGAAATACGATGAATTGTTTAAGACCCGTACGATCGGTAAGTTTATCGTGTAATCTCTTATCTTTTTATCGTTTACCGAATTTTTCATACGTACATACGTACTTTACGTACCCACGCATCACTTTTTAACGAAGAAAGCATGTAGAATCTAGAATCGCGTCGCGTCGCTACGACTTTCGATATACATACATATCTAGATACAATAATCGTCTAGTCTAGAGCGTATAGAAATATATTGGTTTTTTTTTTTCTTAAGGCGCATGTATACCACGCGTAACGGCCCCATTTCATAGAAACGTAACACGTATTCTACTTAATAGATATCGAGGTGCGAATCCTCCAAGGACTCGACACATCGTAAAGCGTTACAAATACAAGGAATTTCGTTTCTGCATGAAAAAATAGTGGATATTCCTTGTATAGGTATGTACGTATTCTAGACATTCTTTGGTCTTTAGCTAGATAGTTGGTAACCAGAGCCGTGACACAAGTCGAGGGTAAAAGAGACACGTGTCATCCGAACGAAACCTGACGTACTTACTTACTTACTTACTTACTTACTTACTTAACGGTGAAAAAAACAATTTGTTTAATATGTAACGTGTTCGTAGTAAATTTTTATTTCGTCCATAGAACTTTTTCGATTCCTTTGTCCGGCTAGTCCCCTTCCAACACGCAATAATAAAATGTCTACATATGATACCTAAATGATTGTATGGACCACCCACGGCCCTGCTTGCATCAAATCTTTAAACAATATACATATATGTATATGTATATGTTCGAGTAAATAAACTGAAGAAATACAAGTGATGAAGAATCTGGATAAATTTTTCTGCCAGAATGCTCTTACTCGACAATAAACATATCTTAATTGGAATATAACGATAGATGAGAGAGAGAGAGAGGATGTTGGTTAATAACACCAACTCGGTTACAATCGTTACCGTTGTTAAATTCATATTGCTCGTTGAATGTATTTAGACGTTGAATGTACACTTGTATCTATGAGCATTCTTAAAGTTTTATAAGAATAAGATCTCTGATATCTACAACATACGTTCGATGCCTACGCAATCAATAGCCTACGAGCACCGTTGATCGCTACAAACATTCTTTGTACCTGTTTATTTTGTTAAATTGGCAACGAGTTTGTTTGTGAGAATTTTTACTTTTTACAACTCTACTTTCTTTTCTTCTTCTCTATTAATCATTTCATATATTGCCGCTTTGGTAAGAGCAATATCACTCCTATAGCAACGCACACGTGCCACAAACTATGAACGATGTAATAATTCCTTCGCGTCTGCAGGAATGCATAGCAGACAAGACCAAGAGAGACTAGAAGAAGTCCAGCCGGGAAATAAATACTTCTGCGAACAGAAATATTGCGCTGTAGAAAATGATGCACCAACGGACAAAAATACATGGATATTTTTCGAGAGCGAACCAACTGCAAGTAACATCGGTAGTATTTTTAATACTACTTGTAGGAGAACCGATTGGTTCGCCCTTTATTTATATGTACATACATACATACATACATACATACATACATACGATCTCTTATCTAAAATGTTTAAAAGAGAAAAACGTTTTGCGAAAAAAGGTCGCAAGTTTTGAAAGGCGCGAGAAGAGATCTCGTCCGTGCGTAAAAAAAGTGAAGATTCCTCGTGTTCTTTCAGACTTGAAATTGAAAGCAACAGTTTCGGATAAGAGATTACGTATGCACGAGTCTGGCCGCCGTGTCTACTCGAAAGCAAACTAATTACATACCTGTAAGGACGCGAAGGATAACGAACAGTGGCTCTCCTCTTACATCTAACGCCCCACGAAAGCCCGATCAAAACGGAGCCCGTAATGGCGGGCAAAAGAAAGACCCAGAGAGCGGTACGGTCCATTTCGGCGCTCATGGCGAGGATAACGGCCCCGGCTATCTGACAGAAGGCGGTGAGTTTCGGTCCGAACGAGGCCATCGCCACCAATGTGACCCAGATCGACAAAAGTGCGTTGAAAAAGTCGCAGAATTGCAAGACGCTCAATCTCATGATACACACGCTGTAAACGTCCTCGCCGGCTTCGCAGGCATGGTAGAAGGTTGAAAAGAACATGACGGCCGCGTAAACGATCGCCTCTGTAAAGTATTCTCTACGCACCGCTACATAAATCGATCCAACGAATGCTAGATTGCTAAAGGTGAGCAGTATCACGCGGACGATCAAGTCACTGTTGCCGAGAACGTAAGTGTCATCGGCACAATCGAAGCCTCGGTACGCGCCAGAACAATGACACGCGGCAAACACGAACCCTCCGCTCATGTAGTGCATGCACTTGCCGTGGGAATTGCACCGGCCGTCGATACACGGCAAAGAAGAGACACGGCTCTCGACTCTGGCATCGCAGGGACTCATGCAATCGCAATCCTCGCATGCAGTACCGTTCAGACAACTCGCGATACACTGGCAACTTTCCTCGGCACAGAACGCTCTCAAGCTTACATGCCAGATACCCGGCTCCGGAAATGGAACGTGGAGGACGGCTGGTCCTGTGGAATTTACGTAAATGTCTGCCGCGGTTGTATTCTCCGTACGCGCACATCCTCCACCGGCAGTGATGTTTGAGTAATAACCTGCGCAGTAAAGGAAATTTTATCAATAACCTGTCAATTTTTCTTTACTTTTTACATACATACATAGATGCGTGCCGTGAAACAAGAGAATTTACGACAGCTGTTACGGTACGCGGTACTGTTGTTAACGCTGTTACTAGACACCAAGGTGATTACACCACGATACGTCACCGACGATGGCGTTAACGGGGCATGGTTTGTCAAGTAACAACGTACGTTCACGGTACACGTAAGGCCGGTATTAAATGAAATTAAGTGAAATTGAACGTGTAGACTTCTCGGTTTAAATTACGGCCGAATTTGCAGGATATCCTGAATCTGCTGACCTAAGGAAACGCATGCGACGACAACGATACTCTTCTTCTCGTTCTCCGGAACGTCGACCAGTTTGAAGCCTAGAGTCAGCGTTCCACCGACATCGTACACTCGACCAATTTCGAAGCTAAGGACGGACAGAATATCTGCGGTAAGATTGAACGCCGACGGCTTGGTGCCGTTCTCTCTGAAATGTTCGTAATCGAAGAGGAAGAAGTTGGGCAACGATTTCCTCATCAAATTCACCGACTTCACTTGGCCCGCCTCGACGGAATAACTGTCGGTCAACTGCAACGACACGTTCGACGATTCGCCTGAGAGCAAACGAAGAGTCACGTAGTGAGAAGCATCGGAGTAAGGCTTGAAGAAGACGGTAGCGTTCGTGGTATTGACAATCATCCCCGCGAGATGATCCTCCGCGGTTACGTGAACCGCGATCTTGCACTCTTCGCCACAGCTCGACTTCAACGATAGACTAGAGTCGAGAAACTCGTCGGAAATGAGTAACTGCATCACGGCGGAATCCACGGTTTCGTTCATATGAACCTCGTACTTGAATTTTCGATCCATCAAGGACACTATCGACGCCGATTCTAAGAGTAATTCAGCGTCCAGTACCGTGTCGCAAGACGCGCCAAGACCTACGAACAAGTACACTTGTAGTTTATAGACAAGCTACCGGGAACAAATCAGATAAACGTCTAGGCCGGGGATGGGGGATGATCGGGTGTTGGTCTCTGCAGTTTCCGAGTCTTTCTTATTTGGAATTTCTTATTTGGAATTATTTTACCGAAACATACGACAACTTTCTGCTCCCGTGTCTCTTTTGTTATTGTCGACCGATAGATGGAGGAAAGCATCAAAAATGACACGCGATATGTATAGGAGAAAAAATTCCCCATCCCTGCCTGGTCCAGGACATGTAGTAGGAGATAGGTATTCGGAAATAAAGAAAAGAAAACTAAACACAAGTCTCGATAAACTTGGGCCAATAATAATATTTTTCGATACACGATAGCTGGCAAAAATTTCGAAAAGTTGATAATAATATGTATAAATTTTTAACAAGATAGAAATTAATGTTTTATGTTTGAAATTTGTGCCAGCAAATGTACAGAAAGTTGTATGTTACCTCAGGAGCCAGCAATAGAAATGTTATCGGCCGCTAAACGCCCGTACCGAACGTTTCTTGTAGACGAGAATATCCGTAACATTTCATAAGGAAAAATGTTACAAAAATTTAAAAGAAATAACGCTCCGACATGTGTTTATTAATACTTTGCTGTTCGTTTTGACGAGTAGTATCATTCGTGTGCTTGAACTTTGACTCCAGCATTTTTCAACTCACCCTGTGTAAGATATCTTTATACAATACGTCCCACTAGAAACCGGCTACCTTAATGTCCTTGTCGTTTTAAACGTAACGGGGAAATTCGAGTTAATAGGGAATGCAGGCACCATCTCAAATCGATAAGATATTAAGACGATCCGTTTATAGCGGGATACCGTGTATGTGATAATTTGAACAAATTTTCGATCCCCGACAAGAAGAAATAGTTACCTTGTTGAGTTATTTTGCCGTTGTCAGGATCCGTCCAAGACCGGAAAGCAATCGCGTACCAATCACCCGGCGAGGGTGCCTCGATTTTAATCATATACTCATCGCCGTTGCTTTCCATATTTAGAGAATAGTATCGACGTCTTCCTTTCATTAGTTTCGCGGCTATCTTGGCACCATCCGGACGGACGAACGGCAAGCTGCCAGACTTCAAAAACAGGGAGACATTTCGCGACGAGCATCTACCTATTCCTCCAGTTTTCTCTTCTTTTACAGTAAACCTGCAATAGGAGTAACTTACGATTAACTGAGCGATTCGGCCCGGCTCGTATACGCGTATTATTTTTATCGATGATCGATCAATTATTTACTTGAATGCTGCCGCGACAGTGCAGTCTGGTACGTTGAAGTGGACGATCGAAATGTGGCGGTAGGCGTAATAATCGTCGAGAACGTTGTTTGGTCGTTGAGCGACCCGCTCCAATTTCCCACAGAGTCCTTCTTCTATCGAAAATATCCATACCAACAGAAATACTAATACGCTGCCCCGCATATTATAGATCCTACGATCCGCCACATAACAAACTACCTCTTCGGCTATTAGCCCGGTAAAAAAAGTCTTGTGCTCGACTGTCCTGCGTAAAATATGAAATTACGACATTTACGACACAAGCAAACAACCACATTACACTTACGAATACCAAATTTCATATAATAATTATAATCATCGTTTGCACGGAGCAAGCAACCTAACGAATAATTCGATCGCTTGATCGCTTGATCGCTTGATCGCTTCCTTTTCTTACGTTTGCACGATAAACGTTTTCTCGCGATTCTACATAGATAGAATGCGTTACAAGTCTAATCGGTTCTCGAGATATACACAGACAAGAGTGACGGAATAGCGTCCGGAGTGGTGCGTGCGGTGGCGCGGCAGCGAGCTAATATTCCAATTTCCGATTATGAATTCCTACCGAGGAAATGAAGCCTAACAGGATCCACACTTTCGCGCTTGGCCACTGCCGCCGAGACTCGATTCAGACACTGCGAACAAGATTCTATACGATACGCGTAACCAAATAGGTCAGATTCCATTGCTAAATTGCGCGCTTCCTGTGCTTGGAAGAACCAACCGATAGCTGCTTAGCCGACCGCGTTATCAAACCTTACATCCTTTTTAAACAAGTTTTTCGTTCTTACCCCCGCCTCGGTCCGAACATCAACTAACAATAAATACGTGAGAATCGATGCTTTCACTGTTTACCCTAAAAACGTTATACCGCGTCTATTTCGATCTATTCGAATACACATCCGCTGTACCGTAGATACGCGTCATTTACGGAACAATCTCGTCAGAGACACGACACAAAAATCCCATTTCCTGATCTATGGAAAATCGATCGCGGAGGATTATACGCGGTGGAAATCGTTCAAGAGTGTGAACTTCGATGAGTGCGAATATCCGAGTCGGTACAGAGAATACGATTTTACTGTATTTCAATTAGGATCACTTATCGTTGTCGAGTTACTTTAAAAAGTGGAACAAAGATTAATTATCATGTTTCGCGGCCACTCTGCAAGATTACGATATTGAAATTGTGTGTTGAACCGATGATGGCGGTGTATCAGCTCTGTTATCTATCAACGCGCATTTATCTTCAATCAACGTTCGTTCGCCCGTGACCATTTTAGACCAAGTCTGTATGGCTGTGCAAACAACTACATACATAGATTCAAAGCAACGTTTTCGCGTGTTTCCGTTCTTATTTATTAATTCGTCAAGTTGCCAGTTTCCCGATACATATTAGTCTTAAGGAGATTAGTCTTAATCGCGGAAAAGTGTAAATAAAAGTACGGTTTCTTTACTGTGTCGGTGACACGCGTTTCCTCCACACTGTTTATTTCTACGTTATGTATGTAGATTTATTTTCTTGTTGCGAACTTGGCTGATGTATTTCATACATGTATTTCGCTATATCAGTAAACTTGTAAAGGTTAAACAGGACAAGCTTCAAGAATATTGGATGAATACCTACTAAAAACTCAAGATGGATAAAATTTCATCTTTTAAGATTTAGTCTTTAAACATCGATCTAGCAACAAGTGGCTTTTAGATTATCTTAACTGCGTTTCGCAGCCAATCGAAGTTAGCGCGGGAATTTCACCAACCGCCTGCCGACCGACCCTCTTCGCTGGCCGAATATTTCCGATAATGTTAGTGAAACGCGAGAGTCGGGAGTCGGGAGTCGGGAGTCGGGAGTCGGGAGTCGGGAGTCGGGAGTCTTGCGCGTTCCTGGTTGAGCAAACTCGCCAAGATATTGTTCGACACTGACACCTTATTGCGATCATACCATCGACGCGTACATAAATAGTATCTGTGTGTTGATTCGCGTTCACGAGTCTAGGAAAAAAACGACAGAACATTCCCGAGTAAAAGTTCGAACCTCGCTAGACTCGCTTGTCGCAGTATTTTTCCGTTGGCTTATCATCGGATATAACATTGATATAACTGGGCGGCATGCATACAACGAATGTCAAAACAATGGTCCGTTTTATTCTTATTCTATGCAAATTCTCATCTTTTCCATCGTCCCTCGTGACTTTGGTTCATACACTTTTCCATTTGCCGCAATCGTCTCTTCCCCTCCCTCCCTCCCTCCCTCCCTCCCTCCCTCCTACCTCTTCTTTAATTTTACAATCAATCCCACCACACAATATACATGTACAGTATATTCTCTTATCTACAAAATTTACTACCTACGATCTTCTATCTAATCTACTAATCCGTTATCCCTTTTGCTAAACTGCAACTTTACACTAATAATCAAGCTTCGCGAAATACCAACGACAAAACGTACATACTTACTATGGACTCGACCGAATAACGTAATGATAATTTCCTGTTTACTAAATAATTATCTGTAACGTGACGCGATGTATTTGCCCGTTTCTCCGTAACGTTAACATTTCACTCGACTATACGTAAGTACACGTATATTTATTTTCTTAATTTCACAAGTAAGTACGTCACGGTCGGTTGTATATTAATTTTTTACTCTCACTATACTGTACGGGCAAACACGTACCGAGAACTCGTAGGAACACGTGGTCGCTTTGACAGCTATTCCCGGTCTCGCGTGAGTGAAAGAGCGCGTTCGTAGCTGCTCGGCGAACTGAAAATCCCCGGGAGGTGTTTATCGATCGTTCTACGTAGAGAGATTCGCGCCACGATTCGCTAGCGAATGCGTTAAGGACGGAGGAACGGTTGCACCAAGTATACAACTTTATGTGTTCTGAATTCACGCTGCCAAGTAGAGAGAGAGAGAGAGAGAGAGAGAGGGAGAGGCAAAGTAACGGAGAAGGGGAGGGTGTGATTTCCTTCTAATCAGTCGTTTAATACTAAATTAGAACAAAATGTCACGGTATCAAACGTGGCGTAAATCCAACACGTGCTTCGATCATCTTGACTCGCACCATACTCCTTCTCCTTCGACCTAGTCTTTTTCAAGAATCGTATCGAAAATTAAACGGTGACCACGTAAAACAAGGTTACGAAATGGGGGGGGGAAAGAAAAAAGAAAAACAACAAATGCTAAATATTCGAGAATACGGTTAAACCGTCCCTCGTTTCTATTATTCTTACAAACGTAGAAAAAACATTTTTCGTCACATTTTTCATTCCCCAAATTCTCCAAACTTGATACTTTGTTTTCATAGTACTGCGTGACAGGGGACGTTACTTTTCGGACAAAAAATAAGTAGAAAATCCAACGTACTCACACATGACGTAATATGTGCCCTTATGTACATACATCATTACTATACAAAATACATCATTCATTTCAGTTCAAACGACATATGTACATCCTTCGAAAATTAATTCTTATTTTATATCTATCGATATATCGTCTTTAATTTTTCATAATTTTAATTCGTATCGATCTGTAACCATACCAATGCCCCGTGTATCGTAAAGAGCTTGGATATTGAAAATCTATCCAAGCAATAAGAAACAATTTTCCTTAAAATTCCCACGAATCCAGCCACTTTAAAGCATGCAGTGGACTTTCAGGATCTTGGGCAGTAGGTCCAACCATACCATACGCCAATGGGGAGAACAAATAGAAACTGAAACAAACAATTTACATACGTTGCTGCTCAGTCAGTTGCTCGTAAAGACTCATTTTACTCGATCGAGCTACGCTTACCTGTATACGGTACCTGAAACGATAACAGCCAGTGTCGTATGATAGATGACGTATCCAAATTTGTTTGGCAATAAAATTAATAAAGTTTCCAGAATGTAGTTCACGGTGATTCCAGTTAACATTGAACTGTACAACAAAGCCGGGAAATAATGATGAAAATATAAAACTCTGCTCATCATCCAGAATGGTAAATAATGCAATATCCAACCGATAAATAACCATTTTCCTGCATTCGTTAGTTTCTTTCTTTGTTCGAGTACATCATGACGATCTACACAACCGCGTTGTTGCCGTACGCAACCGTTAATATATAATGCAATGAAAACGATTAAAAACACGATATTGCCCCACCATATAATTGGGTTACCGAGTAAATATATCCTTAAATTGTTGCCAGAAAAGAATTGGCCCTGAAAAATGTATTTTCTCAAAATTACGTTTCAGCCTTTGCAAATTTTTACGACCATATACACATGATCATTTTTAGACTTACTCTGTAATTAATAGGCCATTGCCAGGGACGCGACGATACTTCTCCTTCCTTCAGTTTCAAATCTGCATTTCCTTGTAACATAACAGCATGCGATTCCAAAAATCTGTCGAAAAATCTTGGCGCGTATACTTGAAAACTGACGTTTGGTACTGTACAAGAAACAAAATTATTAATTAAAAATTCTCTTCGAAAGAGGAGAAATAGCACAATTCCTTGTTAGTTTATTTGTCATGACGTCGAACGAACAGAACTCTTCTTATCGCTCTACGCTCGAAGACGGGTAAGGTGCAAGGGATATTTACATTTTCCCTCAAAGTATACATACATGTACCACAGAATTCTTTCTATTAAGAGGTGGTTAGTTATAGAAAAGTTTGCCGAGTACTAGTTATCTATACAAATCTAGAAACGTTTCAATACTAACGCTTTGCATAATTGTTATCTTCGATATTCCACAATGCATTTTTATCTCTCATATTTGGATTGCACGAAACTTCTTGTTGACTGTATGCCCTGAATATTATATGTAACGTGTAATATACATATATAATACTTTTAAAAGATTATTTTTTTTACCTTTTTCACGTAAAAATTTAGAGCATCAACCAACAACTAACCATTTGGGCAACGTTTTGCCGCTGTACGTTAGAACGCAATGATGTAGATAGTGCACAAATTTTAATTTACTCGTTACTGTTTCAATTACATCGCCGTCTTTGCCATTTACTATCAAAACTTTCCATACATCGTTAGCATCACCGGTACCACCCTAAATAATATAAACAGGTCATCACGTGATAAAACAAATGACGCGTGATTAAAAAACATACTTCACCATATCCAGTAACTTGATAATGCTTCTTAGACATGGCTGCAAACTCCTTGTGCGAATGTAAATTTCTATGCGTAATAACGTGTTCCAATCGTACAAGATCACCGTGTTTCACTAGTTCTGGCTCAGACGGAATGTCGTTGGTATCAAACTTCTTTATCAACCATAAATTGTTATCATCTTTATGAGAGTAAGTAGTGATCTGTATAAAAAATGATTACCAGTGTCTGGAATGCATTGTTAAGTTTATATAAAAGGAAAAAAAAATTAATACTTGTTGTTGCCTAGCTCCAATGCCTTCTGGATAAAGATGCCAGTGAGAATGTAAATATCCTCCACCGGTACGGTGATTTTTCAAGGTGATTCTCGCACCATAGGCTAATTGTCGTGGCATCGTTGCATTATACAAAGAGTTTCCTTCTAGTAGAGATTGGAATTCCGAACTATAAAATCCATCCCCGTTTCCACTGAGATATTTATTTCAAATTTTTAACGACTTTTTTCAAATACTTGATTAATTTATATAGCAACTGTAACAAGTTCCCTTACCTTCTGTTCAAAACAGAAAAATGAACGTAAAAAGATATCATGTATAGTAGCATCGGTAAGAAGATGAGACAAATACATCGTGCCACAAAGTGTTTGCCCACATATATCTGTAACAAGTAAATTTATTTCTCTCGATGTTTAAAAAGTCAATATCTTTAACACATTAAGAAAGAAAAGAAACCTTACAATCGGTTTCGTAAGATCTCCTAATTCCCTCCATAATTCAACAGCCGAATAAAGCCCAACGAGTAGAACAACAAATAGACCAACAAATTTTACGCACATCGTGCACGCAAGCGAAATTCCTGCAAACGATAACCAACCCCACCATTTCCATGAGAAAGGTTCATCGCGAAGAGAACCTATACGAGCCATTCCCCAAGTTGCACACATTATAAAACACAACAGTATGGGATCCAGCAGGATGTACTGATTTAACGTCAACAGTCCTCCGTCTGAAATATATTAACCGTTCGAATTAATATCTTTCCCGTTCCCGTTCCCGTTCCCGTTCCCGTTCCCGTTCCCGTTCCCGTTGTTAACTTTGATCGATAAAAATATCCGGGACGTAACACGCTTACCAAACAAAATAAATAGCGCGGATAATGCAGCTGCCTGAATAGTTTTTGTCAAGTCCCATACAACCAGGTATGACAAAGGAACTATCGTCGCACCTAAAAATGTACAAAACTGGAACATATACCATATTCGTACAGCATTAAATTTAAGTCCTCTTTGGGAAAAATAATTAGTATAGTATAATTAACCCGGAGATATTAAACCTATACTCACAATTCTCATACCATGGTATTTAACGTTTTCATATTTATCTCCTGGTTTCTCGAAAGCAAACGTTCCATCGTATCCGGTCAGATAGCCAGATAATGCTATCAACATCTGAAACATAAACAATCTGCATTACAAACGTTGGAATAGAAGTTTAAGCGCACGTTATTTACCTTTCCTAGCGGCGGATGAACATCGAAAAAGAACGTCCTGTTTATGTACCAACTACCCATTCTACCAAAGTGAGTTTCATCCCAACTGTAACATTAAAATATTTAATATTCGCACGAATCAATTATAGATCGTACATTATTTTTCATACTTTTCCTGTAGCTTACCAAACATGTTGCGGTTCTGTAACTTTATAAAATCTTGTCGCTGCTGTCAATATGACAATAATTCCAAAAACCAACCACCAATTTCTGTACGAATAGTTTTATTTAGTACAGCTTTACAGAGAATGCATTTCGCATTTAGCTGGGTATATATCTTGATTTTGATAACAGGTCAAAAATACCGTGCAGGGAGAAGTTAAGCAATATGGTAATATCTATTTTTTTACAACTTTTCACTCACCGCACCATTCATCTTTCCTTTCTACAGATTTTTTTACTTCTTAGCAAATTCAAGATACAGCCCGTTTCATTGTGCGACGCACTCTGAATATTCGAAACGTATAAACAAATAATACAAAATTACATACAAATCTATCGTATCCTTTTTTCCTTTATTCGAAAACTGCTCATACGAACGCACATTCTCTATATTGTGCATACGTTTTGAATTATTGCCCATCTCCTCCATATTACTATTAAATATTATTTTCTTTTATTTCCACGACTCGGTTTACGTTGCATCAAGTATGCAACATGCAACGGTAAACGATAACTCTGCCGATCATTGATCTCTATACAATATTAACTAATGTACGTATACACTATGTAGTAAGTACATAGTGTGTACCGTGTATAGGGATCAGTGATACACGTACCATTTGCAAATGGTGCTATTTTTCCTTACCAACTACTTAAAAGTAAGAAAACTAATCAGGGAGATTCCCTCGAGTGTCGCTGCAAACGATGCTTTTGTCGATATGTATATGTATAAACAAATAACTGTGCGATCTACATAGGTACATACTTGGAAATTGAAAGTTACAACTTACAATGTAATATAGTAGATATTAGCTGTAAAAACAATGAAAATACTGAATTTTAATCGATTCTTAAAATATCAATATATGTTTTGTTCAAGTTGCCCATCGCTAATTCAGTGTGAATTCAGTTTACGTTGCAAAGGGGGAAAAAATTATCAAGAGGTTAATACCAGAAGCATGCTTTGTTAAACGCTCAGTTAAATACAATCAGAAAAAGTATGGAGGGAGGAACAGATTATGTTGCAGAACACGCGCAGAAAGAGGAAAATGACTTTTTAGAGGTAAATTGGTCAACAATTTAAAAACAATTTCGATATTATTCAAGTTCCTTTTAATTCCAGTTGGTAAAGCATCGTGACAAGTGCGATCAAAAAGGTTTTCAAGTTGTATCGCAAGATACAGTTAGCACGCAGCAGGAAAATAACAGAGAGACAATGAAAATTTATAAGACGTATGATTTTGTTTATCGCCCAAAGGCAAACTTAACGATTACATCCGTAAAAGATCAGATAGTATCTATGATCGAAACTAATTCGGTGGTAGTTATTCAAGGGCCGACTGGTTGCGGGAAGACTACGCAGGTACCACAGTTTATTCTGGACTCTTGTTGTAAAAAACGACTTCATTGCAACATCATAGGTAATTTTAGCATATCTACCATAACGTTTAATGTTATTTAGTAAAACTTTTCGCATTTATAATCGCTCCGCAGTCACGCAGCCTAGACGCATCGCAGCCATAAGTATCGCAAAACGAGTTAGCGAAGAAAGAAATTGGCCGGTAGGTACCCTGGTCGGATATCAAGTAGGTCTCATAAATAATACGTGTCCGGATACACGTTTGAATTATTGCACAACGGGCGTTCTCCTGCATAAATTGATCAATTCCAAACACATGTTGGATTATACGCACATTATAATCGACGAGGTTCACGAAAGGGACCAAAACATGGATTTCCTCTTGCTCCTCGTTCGAATGTTATTACGTAGAAATTCAAGTTCGGTGAAAGTTATTTTAATGTCTGCAACATTCAAAGTGGAGAGATTTGCTACGTATTTTTCTTCCCCCGTGGGAAATAAACTTACACCCGCACCTATTATTGATATCGAAAAAAGGAATCGCTTCAATGTTACTATATGTTATCTTTGTCAAATGGGTGCACTAGGTCTGGTAAATATCTGATATAATACCACTCTCGACTCGATACACGTAGAAATATGTTTATCACATTGTATTTTTGCTTTACCACAGTTACCTGAAGTTTCTGCTACGGAACCGAACGTTTCGAAACAAATGATGGAGTTTTGCGTTAATCTTACAAAAGTTCTTGACGATGTGGACGCGAACGATGACGATGCTGACTGTAATCTGGAAAGAAATGTTTACGAAAGACACGCGATTCTTGTATTCTTACCGGGAATGGATGAAATCGAAGAAATGCATAATTTCTTATCACTACCAAAACACGATGAGTCGAAATGGGACATAGTAGTGTTACATTCATCGATCACGAACAACGAACAACAACGAATTTTTATAAAACCACCCCATGGTTATCGTCGCATTATCTTATCTACAAATATCGCTGAAAGCAGTATCACTGTGCCCGATATAAAATATGGTATGCCGAGTTAACACTTTCACTCTATCCGGCTATTTAGCGGTGTATGTATTATACGGGTTATGGATTCCGAACGTGTTGGTTGGTCGTATCAAGGAAAAAAGAAGGATCCTCTACGATGCCATTTTTCATCTTCCTTTCTTTTCAGTAATTGATTTTTGTTTAACGAAACAACTTATTATCGATGGAAAAACGAATTTCCAAAGCTTGGAACTTACATGGGCAAGCAAGGTAAATTGTGAACAAAGAGCAGGTCGTACAGGTCGTGTAATGCACGGAAGAGTGTACAGATTGGTGTCGCAAACATTTTACGAGGTGAGTAATTTCGATCTCGGCGATTTAAACAAATGAGTAACTTAATTAATGAGTTAATTAAATACGTATTATGAGATTTATAAAAAATCGCAGTCTGTATTGCCTCGCGAAGCACCTCCCGAGATGTTACGAGCACCGTTAACAAATTTGGTTCTGAAAGCAAAATTATTAGACATGGGAGAACCAAAAGCTATATTAGCGCTTTCTCTCGATCCACCCGATCTTGACAGTTTGGAAAGGACGATATTATTGTTGAAGGAAGCCGGCGCATTAACCAACAAAACTAATAAAATACAAAATCTTGACGGAGAATTAACAGATCTTGGTCGAGTTATGGCCAATCTGCCAGTAGACATTTATCTAACAAAATTAATTATGTTGGGCCACGTGTTTAGCGTTTTGAAAGATACGATTATTATGGCAGCCAGTCTAGCAGTGAAAGACGTGTTTAACAGTCCGTTTCGACAGAAATTATTGTCATTTAACGTTCGACTAAAGTGGGCCAGCGGTTCTTGCAGCGATTGCATAGCTTTCATGCACGTGTACAAAGCATGGATCACCGAGAAGGCCAACCGTCGCATAACCAATAATGCTGCTGAACAGAAATGGGCAATGAGAAATTTTGTACAAATAAAAGTATTACGCGAAGTGAAGGTTCTCGTGTCCGAATTAACTAGAAGACTGGAAAAATTCGGTATACAAGAAAGCGTCGGCGTTAATAAAGTTATTTGGAAAGAGACGGAACGACCGTTCGTGTTGAAAATTGCAATCGCTGGTGCATTTTATCCCAACTATTATGTCAAACATGTACCAGAAGTAGAAATGAACGAGCATGCAGCAGTAAAATTATTAGGCGGTTTGGATCCATCTAAAACAGTCTATCTAAGGGGATGGCCTTTAAAGCAACCTGGAATTTTATACGCCCGTAAGATTCAAGATATGTTTCGAAAGAATGGAATATCACCCGTTGAAAAGATAAGAGTGTCCTTCGATGCTTCGTCTCGAGTTTATATTCAGTTTGCTAAAGACAAGATATCCGGAAATGAAAGTAACGATACTTCGAAACAAATATCGCCGTCCGTTTACGAAGCTATCAGAATGAGAGAATGTAAAATTCCCTTGGACATACCTATTTTGAACGAAGCTGTAGCCATTCAACGAGCAAAAGAAATAAACTTTGAGAGAAAATCATTTTTTACCTGCGAAGACTCGAGAAAAGACAGCATGAAACCTCGGTTACCGGGTTTACGAGTATCTCGGATTCTCGCGGTAGTATATAATGTGCGCGTACAACTAAAAGGAAATAAAAATTCACTAAAATATTTTATACCGTTAAGTGATAATTTTAATTTTTAGGTAATTAATCCTGGCCATTTTTGGATACAAATGCGCGACTCTAATGTAAAAAGAGAAATGGATAGAATACAATCGACCATCGAAGAAACGAAACATCGCTTAAATCGATTCGTTACAGCTCCTAAAATCGGTTCGCTCGTAATCGCACCGTACGAACAAAATAATTGCAAATCATATTTTCGAGCAGTAGTCGAAGGTCATAAAACGTCGTCGGAAACATTGGTACAGGTATTTTTCATAGATTATGGTTACGCGGGCGAATGTAGGTTGTGCGATTTAAGGTGTCTCGATAGCGACAGCGAAATTGCCAATATTCCAGCACTGGCATTCCAATGCATTTTGGCGAATGTTCAACCGTCGATAGCGTATAATTTATGCGACAGTTGGTCAGGAGCCGCGTACGATTTCTTTTGGACGTTAATTAATAAGCCCGGTGTACTAATTGGCGAAATTTATTCTATCGTTAACGGCGTTATCGCATTGGAATTGATACATAAAAGCAAAGAAGGAGGAGAAGAGATCAGTATCAATCAATGTCTGATCGACAAAAGATTTGCAATCAGAAAGGAAGAGAATTACTTTTCACGCTTCAATCATAATTTAAGATCGCAACAGTCGGAAATTTCAGACGAACAGTGTCGTCACTACGAACAATTACAAAACGATCAAGGTTGTATGTCGGATATTTACCCGGAACCAACCGATAGTTCCGAATGTTGCGCAACGATAAATTTGCGAGGGCCATTTTCGCCATTGGAAATTGAACTGAAACATCTGACTGTAATCGGCAGTTGCAAGAAGGTACACACGGCCGTAAATTCTGTGAACTCTGTTCTTCTGGACACTGACCCGGAAGACTCGCATCAGCGACTTTTAGTTGCCGGATCAGTTCTTCAGAACGTGCACACCAGTAATTTAACATTATACAATACGACATTGATGCCACGTCTTCCTGGACTTACGGCTTTAATTACATTGATTTTCACTCCGTGTACGGAATTGCGACGCGACACGTTTGGAAGTTGTTACGTTGGTGCGTTATGCGGATTAGGATCCGACCCTATCACCAATGGAAGCATTTTCCCGGAGCATGACATAGAACTTCATTTCGACACCGAGGTTACCATCGATGATCTACAATATGTGAGTATATCCTTTTCACGCGTATCTTTTTATTTACGCGCGCGGATCTGAAATCATTGTTATCGTACCTTGGATAAACAGATAAACAGATTACGTTATTGGATGAGTATTGGAATGCAGATTAATAATCAATCGAAAAGCAGCGACAACATGGAAGAAATAATCATTTGTCAAAACAGAGTAAAAGACGCATTATTGAAATTGATCGAAAAGCCCAGAAATTCGCAAATTCCGGAATTAATTTATAATTTTGATAAATGGAATCTGTACGACGAGTCTTTGTACCTAGAACCCAGCAGGCAATCTGTAATCGCTAATAACATATATAGGTTGCACAATGCTTTGGAATTGGAAGAAACGACTGCATTGCAAGAAATTACAGAACACCTGAGAACCTTACGAGCTTTAACGGTCGAGTAAGTAAATTATCATCGTCTATAAATTTTTTTGTTAAACGTAATATTTATTTATAATGTAACAGAGGGAATAGAAAGACTGGAAATTCCAACATTTGTTGTAAACTGTGCAAAGTTACGTTAAGCGACATTTTCGATCTTCGCGGTCACCTGTTCACGATACAACATAGGGAAAACGAAAAGCAACTAGGAATTGAACTTTAAAACATTACGATCACCAAGTACGCGACGTACAATGCCGAGGAAAGTATTATCGATATTTAATATACATTAGTTTATGTAAGTACTTGACACGTATTATGCGAATCAGAGCAAAGTTTTGTTACGATTATTTTCACTGAAAATATTTTCTTTCGTACATTTCTGTTCCATAGTTAATAATAAATCATTAGTTGTAAGAACGCGACAGATTTTTATTTTATTTTTTTATTCGATCAATGATTTCGATACACAGACACGGGCGCACAATTAGCTACTATGTAAGTACTACGATCGGTTAACGGTATTTAAAAGACAATATTTTTACAATTTATACCAAAGTTTTAGCTTTGTTACTGCATCGAAGGAAGAGCCTTGGTGTATCGGACCGAACGATCGGATCACGATCTAGGCAAGTACGTATTTCACAAAAAATCGCATCAACATTTACGCCCATAGTGAGCTCGAACGACGACAACCGTTTCTTGGGGTCATTATCCCCATCTCACTTTGCTCCTTGTCCTTCTCGTTGTACAAGGAACGGCGGAGCGGAGCCGGAAACTCTCTATGTAAGGAGTGGGGGGGGGATCAGAGCCGGGCGACTCGATGCGCAACGAGTGGGGGAGCAGAGCCGGGAGTCTCGATGCGCAACGAGTGGGGGAGCAGAGCCGGGAGACTCGTTGTCCAGACTTCGTAGCTTAAAGACGCTCGTCGGGAATAAAGTTTTTATTATTTCGTTTTGACAAGCACACGGTGTAATTTTTTCGATCGCGTTTCTTCCTAATCTCTCTTCTAATTCACGGAGACGGCAGGAGTGGAGCCTGTATTACTAACATTATCATCCCCGCTTGGGCGAACTTGACAGTTTTTTCGTTGGTGGCGCTGCCCGCGATAGAAGCAACGATCGCGTGTGTATGTATCTATAGGATTTTACAGGCAACAAATAGTCAATGCGGTACTATTTTTCACCACATATATTTCAAGTTTTGCTCAACTGGTAGACAAACAACTTCAGTCGGAATAGTTTTATCCGGTTTATCCTCGAAACTCGAACAGAGGAAAGTTGGTTATTTCGTGATTTCGACAATATTGTATCGTGATCATCTTTGTGAAACATTAAGATAATAAAAATACAGTGATAAAAAGCGCCTTACGCGTGTCAGTTTCAATAAATTTCTCAATCTGCGTTTGAAATCGATTAAAAAAGTTAAACCTGATTTTGAAACCGTTCATAGCGTGCGACATTTTGATGATTTACACTGGTTCGAAATCGTAGCCGTGTAACGGAACAGGTTAATTCAAAGTACTCGTAATCGCATCATAGGTAGAATTCATATTTATATCTATCGAATTACAATTCTGTACGCAGCATGTCACTATTTTCAGCCTTTGTTGGCGTTGGTGACACCTTGAACGAAGAATGACGTTGCAACGTACATCTTTCCTATTTCGGTTAACTGGTAATTGGAAGAGGAACGGAGATACTAAATTACACCTTCGACAGCGAACAACAACACCTTCGGGTGCCATTCTTCCGGAACCAAAAAGAACACGATTTGGTTTTCTAGGGGTAATCTGTAGCATCGTTACCGGTCTAGTTATCGGAGCTACGCTGAGCAAAATGATGGCCAATTTTCTCGAAGAGAAAGAACTTTTCGTACCTTCGGACGACGATGACGACGACGATTAGAAAGTTCAATTTGCAGAAACAAGTTAGTTGGCTCTTAGAAATTATTCAACTTACTTTTCTACTATCTTTTCCGATTGTGCATTTATTTGGCTCTTCCCTATTACGAAGTATATAAGTTTTGCAAAAACTTTGTTTTTTATCCCATTAACCTACGTTGCTATATTACTATATACGAAAATATGAAAATTAGACTGCATATTGTTCGATTAATATTCGTCGCAAACGAAAAAAGTAGACAAACAATGTATAGATACGTAAGTATGTAAAAATGCTCTCTTAAACTGCATATAGAAATACGTCTATATGCACATTTATCCACGCTCAACAGTTTGTACATAGTTTCAATAGATTTATAAGTAAACGTCTGAGTCGTGAAAAATCAAGAAACGATATTTATGTCGTTAAGGTCGTTTAAACAAGATTACCATGTTTGATGAGTTTGAAAAATTATAGAATTTCATAAAAATTAAGCGCCGTGTATCCATAGAATAGTTATTCTGCCTGCAGGTATTACGTAATACATAATTGATATCAGTACTGTTAACAAATTGATAGATCTTCGCGTATCGCACGCGACGTCAAAGTTGTAAAAATATAAACTTTCTACCAAACATACTCTCTATTGTAGCGGTCTTTTATGCGAACTCCAGCCGTGAAAGCATTTGGTGAATTTACGAGATTCTTTTCCCTTTGCAGTTAGAAATAACTTGCGTGGTCTGTCAGGCTGCTTGACTCGTAAATGTTGAATGTACACCTGAAAACGTATAAATGTAATTTCTTTTCGCAGAGAGTTTTTTTATTCGGATCGTTCGTGCTATTTCGTTTTAACAGACAAGCCGAGAAATTGCTTATTTGCTTGAGTATCTTCACCTGTGCGGATTTATAGGCTAATTTAATTTCTACTTCCGAACATCGGCTTCCCAACCATAAAAATACTTGTTCGCCATTATCGAGTATCATAATGTCATCGTCTGCTAAATCATCCTAGAACGACATTAATCGGCCATGAATTTGTTAACCGTATAATCACGTTTCTACGTACGATAATAAATTTATTACGTACCTGACAGAAATCGGTACACTTTTCACTGATCGTAAAGTATCCCTTTTCATTCGAACATCTAAACAATCTGGTGTAATTCATGTACTGCGCGTCAGTGTCGTACGATTTTTTCCCACCAAGAGCAACCCAAAAGAAATTATCTGGTTCTTCACCTTCGTTCAGAACTTGCAAACTTATCCATGGCTGTTAATCGTTCAACATTACAAATATCAATTAATTTTGTAGAAACACATGGGTTTCGTAAATGTGCGAAGACATACGTTATTGAACATCTCTTCGGCGATTTCTTCGATGAGACGCGCTTCGTCGTTGTCAGCTTTCGAACCAATCCAGGCGTATACTATTCCCGTTTCATCGTCGTTGTTAAACGGTACGTTCAAAAGGTAACTGGAAACAACGATCGATGGTTTGGACAACACATTATAAACGGTATGCGTAATGCACTCAAATTTTTGTATTTTGATGTTTCATCGCATTAGTCCGGGAACCGTTTAGATGTAAACGGTGAATCATCAGATTACGTTACGTCTCGATGAATCGAAAAAGTGAATAACGATCTTACCAAAAAGAAGAATTTAATAGCGACGAATCAGCTGGTATTTGTATCAGCCTAGTACACAACGCGCTTCCGTTGCTTCTCAAGTGATAAAATTCGACCCTATTGTTACCGGGAATTTTCGACTGCTTACGCTTACCATGATGAATGATAAATTTTCTTTTAAAATATGCCAAAAACTTTAGATTTTCCTGTTGTTGATGAGTCCTAACTACCTCTAAATTTTCTCCAAACAAGGATTTAAATTTTTTCTGTAAACTAAAAGTACATCCAGTCAGTATCCGCCAACGAATAAAATAAAATAAAAGAAAGAAACGTGTTTCGAACAGGTATATTTTTACGTACCTGAACGTAAACGTTAACCATCCCATGTTGCCTGCGTCTCTGCCTTGCCAAAAGTACACCGTGCACTGATAATCTTCCTCGAACTGTTCATCGCCGTCTTCGTTCTCGGTCGTATCCAATGGCTACCGAATTAGAAAGAAAACACAGCGTGTGTGTGTGTGTGTGTATTTTTGTTCGTTTCCAGAAACGGCTCGATGGAATAAAAATATTAATTACGTACTACCCAATAACGGCATAGAAAAACATAACAGTCCCCGCTATAAAAATGACCTAATTCTTCTTCCGGTAAGCGTATAAATTTCTTCCCTTCCAATACCAACGCCTCCATTCCTTCCAAATCATCGTTCCATTCCGACATGAGTTGTTGAGCTTCGGTAAACGACATCGGTGGTTGTCTAGGCATGAAAAGCGCAGCTAGATCCGCCTGTCGAGATACAAGTGTTCCATCAGGAAAAATAAAGTTCGCGACTGAAAAGAATACGTACGCTCGACGATGATGTACGTTTCTTTCCGCGTACCTTGGTTTCTTGTTGTTTGGCCCATTTCGTAAGATCGGCACCAGTTTTCGCGACCGATTCGGCAGTTCTAGTAAAATCGACTGCTATAACTTCATCCCAACCAGTAAATTTCGATTTGAAGATCTAAAGGGGTGAAAAGAAGGAACGATCGTTCAGACGGTTCGCAGCTTTTTTCTCTCTCTCTCTGTAATTCATACCTGAGACTCGGTTCCTTCTTGCAATCTGGTCACCATAGCGTATTCCGGTCGTTCTATCATGTTGAACAGCTCTTGGGAAAGTTTAACGGCAGCCGCCCGTACCAATCTCGTTGACTTTTTGCCAAACCTACACGCGCAATAATCGTCGTACGTTTACTACATCTCGAAGTAACTCACGGCTCGGAGATATCACATGCACGCACTCGTATTTACCAAACGTAAACATCCAAATGACAATCCAATATATAAACGTTACGATTGTTCAAGAGCGTATTCGTTAGTTTGCCATGAGGTACTTCGACTTGAGGCAATTCCAAATAGCCCATGCCGAGTTGAACCTGATAGAGACGCGGCGCAGGAGACACAAAATTTTGATCTACGTGTTCCTAGGAGGAAAATGAATCGATAACAGTTTAATTCGGAAATAAGATCAGAGTCTATTTTTCTAAGATGCACCGGAATAAACTTACAACTATAGTTGGAAGTTGCGAGCTATCTTTTACGTTTAAATACGATAGAAAATCGTCCGATTCCGAGTTCATTATTTCCGTCAGGATTTCTGCTTTGTTCTTTCTTTCGTTTTTATTTATTTTCTCTGCCATCAGCCTCGCTTTCGATTTCAATGTACTTTTCGCCCCTTTACCGTACCACATAAAGATTTTATTGCCCGTGTCCAAGACGAAGACAAAAGCTGGATCCAGAGAATCGAAACGAACAGGCACCGGTTCCAAGTGAATCGAAGCACCCGCGGCGTGTACTCTGTACAGTCGGGTCACGGACGGCTACGATGTATCGTGTGTAGTTATCAACCGACAAAGCGGGAGCAAAACGAAGAGTAAGGCGGAAACAAATAAATAGAAATTATGAAAGCGAAATGTCGAGAAACGGAAAGAGCGCTTATCGATCGTTTACGAACCGTGTCTTCGACGGTATAAAAGCCGGACGAAGTACGACCTCCTTCGATGTAAGTTATACCAGATTCGAACAACATCAGAAACTCGTCAGATTCCTCGGTTTGTTCTTCCCTGATGGTACGACATTGCGCACCAAGATAATTCCGTAAATTTACAGCATGAATGGCGGCGCAGGCTCTTTTATCCAACTGTAACGATAAAGCAAAGGGTTTTTGGCCAGTCGTACGTATATCGTACGATACGTACTCCATTCTTGTATCGATGCTCCATTTATCGAGCACAACACCGTTTCTTTGATCGTACCGTAGCTTTTTCTCCGATCCAAAAATAAATGGCCCAAATCAACGACCCAGCTTCGTCAATTTCAGTTTTCAATACAATATAACAATCACCTTCGTAAAACTTTCCATGCGCTACTTCCTCTATTTCGTTGGGTAAAAAATTTTCTATCTCCCATACCGATAAACCAGGCACCTGACCGGCGTCTTCGTCGAAAAATTCCGAATAGTCTAACGGCGGTTTCTCCAGGGTTTCGTCCCATCTTTTAGGTCTTGAAATAAAAAGAAGAAGAAGAAGAAGAAGAAGAAAAGGAAGATAACGATGGGATCGTGGTGAAACGTAGACCGTATTCGAAACGCGCGTTCATACGATCAAGCTTACTTCAACGATTCCGCTTTCGACTCTTCGCATTCTTTGTCCTTGTTCTTCTCTTTCGCTATATCTTTCATACCCTAGGTAAGGAAAAGAGAAAAATATGCCAAGGTAAATCTCGTTGCTCCCCGTACGTACGCAACAGAGCTTAAAACATTATACCTTTAATATTTTCGCTTGATCTTGGTCAGCTTCTTCCTGATCTCGTCTCCTTCTGAGTCTCATTTTGCGGGCTATCGGATCTTTGCTACCTGTTGGACGATAGCACGAGGATAGCGAAGACGAACGGTAATATACCGAAATAATCGTACGCGTGGAATCGAATTATCGATAAATATTTAAAGAGGCAGGCTTACCAGCCGTTTGAGTCGGTGCCGGTACGTTGGCACCGGCAAGACGCAGTTGATGTTGCAAAGAAAAATCGATGTTATAAAATTCGATACCAGATCCTTTCTGTACCTCTGTTGGTTTCGGCGGCATTACCAAATTTGGATTATCTCTCAAGTCTAATTGTTCTAAATCGGTAAGAAGATGAATGGCGTCCGGTACAGTGATCAATCGATTGGATGCCAGTATCAATTTTTTTAACGAGCCGCATCTAGAGAAATAATTTATACGTTCATCGTGGAAGAGAAGAGAATAGAAGAGGAAGGAAACGGTCGTCATATACCTGCACAAGCCTTCCGGTATCATCTCTAAACGATTATTGGCTGCAGAAAATACTTGCAACGACGACAATTTGCCTATTCCCGAAGGAATACCTTCGAAATCTAACCGGTTATCGTTTACGTATAATCTTCTGAGCGTAACGATTTTACACAGTGAGGCGGGTATCATGGTCAATTTATTACGGCATATATTCAAAGTTTCCAATTTAGTCCAAAGTTCTGAAAGCAAGTCTCGGATCAATCGAGACGATAGGTGAGGAGAACGCGGCGAAGAAACCTACCGATCGCCGTGGACAGTTCGGTTATTTGATTATCGCTCAAATTTAAGCGGCGCAAATTTAATAGATTATAGAGCGCGTCTGGTACCCGAGGTAAATTATTTAGCGATAAATCGAGCTCCTGCAGATTCGTCAAAGTTTCTAAACTGGAGGGAATGTTATTCAACGTTCGTTGCGTGTCGCGCATCTGTAGCGTCGTTAAATTCATCAACGATGGCAGTTGCCTGAATGATAATAAAATAAAAAAGATGTACGTTCGATCGCCTCCAACAATTTCATGGAACATTACCGTACCTCAATTGAAAATGTCCCAACGGATTATGGTTCAAATTCAAGGTTTGTAAATTAGCCAAGCGGCGAGTTTGCGGTGGCAATGTTTCCAATTTATTATTACTAAGATCCAGAAATAGCAAATCCGTCAAGTGAATAAAGAGCGTGTTGGGAATAGCATCGATGCTGAAAAGACGATTATTACGATCGATAACAATAATAATTGTAATTCGTAGGAATGTTACGACTCGACGTTAAGAAGAATATACGGCTTACTGATTGTGACTCAAGTTAAGATTTAACAAAGAACGAGCTCGTTCGAGTCCTTCCGGCACTTGTTTCAAATTATTACGACTCAAATCTAACGTGGTCAGTTCTTCCAAATGAAACAGTTCCGCCGGTATACCGCTCGATTTTATATTATTGCGTCTGATGTTTAACGTTCTAAGGCAACCAAGCTCCGTCAGTTCTCCGTACAAGCGTTCTAGTTTATTTTTAACCAGCGAAAGATGTTCCTATCGTTGGAAAGCAAAAAGGTTTTGATTTTATGGAGAGCAGCCGTGCAAGGTACTCGAATCGATCGACGTTAAAAAATGAACGCGTAAACGTTACCAGCTTCAACAGTTTTCCCATTTCCTCTGGGATTTCGGTCAAGTTGGTTTCGTCCAACTTCAACCATTGTATTCCAGTCATAAGACGAACGGATTCAGGAAATTTACCACCCTGTAGAAAGTAACGTACTGAATATGCTAGTAAGACGAAACGAAACGAAACGAAACGAAACGTACTCGAACGTTACACTCACTCCAAAATCGTTGCTACTGAAATCTACACCGCGTACGAACGGTAATACTCCTGTATTTGCCATCTTGCGCCCGATTCGAGCGAATATTTATTCTCTTGTAAACTTTTATACGATTCGCATTCGACAATCACGCGTCCATCTGTAACGTATTAATATTATTTACAAACAAGTTGGTCGAATGTGCCGAATAGAAACGCATCGGTGCCTGTAAACACGTCGTACGTAATCGTTATAAAAATTGTTTGAAATACGTTCCTCCATTTGGTTCGACACGATCGGATAGCAAAACGCGCATCAGAGTCGAAATAATTCCACGATATTAATCGCACGCTACGTAAATACCGTATCCACGTAATAACGCAGCTTATCAAGAACGGAAAAGGATGTGGATCGGTGTAGAGAAGCGTCTACACGTACAACATACATATACGAGGTAGTAAGTATGTACCTATACAGCCTATAGTGGTTCTTTTCATGGATACGATACCCCTTACCATCCTGCAGCGGTGCGACATCAGGCGCGTTTTCATGAAAACTCTATTTCGTACCAATCGTACTCTCCGAATGGTGTAATTATTCCTAGGAATTTTTCTCACGTTTCCATCCTATGGTTCCGTTTTACAGTGATATTCTTAGTTGTTTAACGTGATCAGGATTTCGAAAACTTGGTAGGTATAGAGAGATTTGAGTCGTGTTGTACATTTACCTCGCACCGGCGTGGATCGCCGTATATTTATCTGGATATACGAACAGTCGACGAAGAAAGTAAAATCGTTGTTGAAAATTTTGTTCACAAGGCAAAGTATTCGAATACCGTTTCCAAATTCGTTCGTCAATTGGTTTCGTATATGGCTTCGCTCGAAGATTTGGATCAATTGGATAGCGGCATGGGCAGTAGCGACGCACATTCTCCCGAGGTGAAATCGGTAGTTCCCGACGACGAGGATGACGAGGAGGTATTGCATTTTAGTAGACGATCTCGCGTTGATTATATTTTCCACTTTGAGCCTCGGACCATGGAACGAATTGTTGATTTTAGAGACGATGGTCGGTTAACCAAGTTTCCCTTACTCGGAGAACATTATATTGTTTCATCCAGTGATAATAATTGCGACCCACCTTTAGTTTATATCATTTTTTGATAATTAATGCATTATTATTGGAGCAATTCGATGAATGCGTTCGTAAGTAACGTCGATGGTAACCTTCAGTCAGATTAACAGGTATCTTTTGGTTTACGTTTAGGACGAAAGCCTCGCCGAAAGGCTTTTGGGTCTCACGGAAATGTTTCCTGACGAAGTACGTAATTTTGGTTACAACGTTGGTACTGGCTTGCACAGTTGTATGAAAGGTTAGTGTATACGTCGTTACGCACGAAACAATAGTTTGTAAAATGTTACAAATATATACATCTTTATTTCAAAGGTCTATACGGATTCTCGTGTTCAGCGGCATGGTTGTTCTTCAGCTCATCGGCTATTTTATTCGCACCCATATTGTTGGAAACAGAGCGCGCGCAAATGGAGGAGGTACAACGTACACAGCAAAAACAAGTTCTTTTAGGACCTAACGCAGCAATGTCAAACATGAATGCTTCTTCGACTCTTCCAATGGCTCCGCCCGTGCAACGATAATAGTAATATCGACATAGCATCCGAACCGATATAATTTGAACGTTCCGTTCACCATTTATATTTGTTAGCGTAACAATTCCATTGTACCGTAATCTCTGACTAAAATGTATCTGTATACGGGACATTGTATATTTTCCACTAGGAACTGTAACCGGAACATAAAATTCGAGCTAAGTAAATGGTTGATATGCGGTTAATGTACGGCGATGCTATTCGATTTTTCCTATTCTTTACCCATTTTAGAAGAATCGTAGATTTTTACCAAAACGAATTTATCGACAAGTCGTTTACACGAAAAGGGAATCGAAATGTTCATTCGTAACACTTTCTTATTCATTGGAAAGTAATTGTAAAATCGTAATAGCCGAGTGTTAGCAGCGTAATTTGCTTGTGTCAAGTAAGTTTATTAAATTGTATCGTCGCGTATCGTTTCTAGCGTATCATTCGTCGTTATAATATGCAAATTGAAATAAACTTACAACAAAGCACCATTTTCAACCTCTTCTTTTATCGCGCAATCTTTACTTTTCTAGGTTTTTATGCTCGCGGTCGATGGTAATAAATTGTATACCCGGCGACAGCTCGATCTTATCGAGCAAGGAAGAATTTTTCTTAAAGGTTTCTTTTTCGTATTTAATAAATTCGCATGACGTCGTTGTACGGAAATGTTTAATACTTTTTGGTAGGTACTCATGAGCTCTACGAGTTAAATCTTAAACCTTACGGACTCGAGACTCCCTGATGATATTTTAACTATCAAAAAAAAGAAAAGAAAATTTTGTTTACTGGGCGTAAAGACGCGCGTTCGTGTATCTATATTATATTATAGTACGTAGAGTCCACAGCACAAAATGAATATTGTAATGTGCTCCGAAACGGGGAAAAAGACGAGCAGTGTGCATCGGCTCAGGCGCCGCTCGTCTTTCGCTAGGTACGGTCCTGAAGAGTATCGCGACAACACGCATGTGCGAGTGCGCGCGCTGCACCGCGTCACAGCTCCGGATCGATGATTGGTCGATGCGTCGCCTCCCATGCTCGCCACCAGAGGAGTCCAGAGGAGTCGCGCTCTCACAAGCGATCGAGCGATCCTTGCCGGATTAATTTGCTTTAAACTTCCAATGCGTTATTAATATTGTAGGGGACAAGAGCGCCTAGGGAAAGTCACTAGATGGAGTTGGCGTGGCAGCCCTGTAGAGCGCCACGCTACGACTGACGGAATAAAGCTCTGAGACAAGGAACACGTGTCGTACTGATATTCCCGTTATCCCTACGCATCCCTATAATATTGTAGGGAGCATGAGTAACTCCCTAGTTACTCTCGCAGATGGCGCGATTGGCGCCGATGCCAACCGTTGAGAGAGGCCGGGATGCTATAGGGAATTTGTCCCTAGGTACTCCCTGGGGCCACGAGAGACAAGAGAGAATCAGGAGGAGGTATTCCCCGAGCAAGCCTGAGAGACGGTCCAATAATATTATGTGTTTTGATGTATTCATGTATCACTGTTACGTTAATGATTTCAGTTAGTGCATCATTAAAGAATACACCGTCAAATTGTATGACCGTCAGTGGACAATGTCGACCGTTATACGTTATTGTGTGAAAATTCTGTTGAAACTTGATAACACACTACCAGCGGACACTTTAGCCGGCCATCGTGACCGATTTTCGAAACAATTCTATGAACCGAAGAAGTTGTACAACACCGTAAAACAAAGACAGTATTTTAAGCATGTTATAACGACGCCTGCGTTACCGGAGGTAAGATTTTTCGAATTAAATTTATTTTTAAACAGAATTTAGTGATTTCTTAAAACAATGATAATCTCTATAACGTTCATCCGGATGCTATAGTATCCGGTAGGATTAGCATAGGTAGGATACGAAGGAATGGTTTCTGCCATAAAATGCTCATAAAAGCTGAAGAATCCACCAAACTTTTTGATACAATCCGAGTTACGAACGTACATGACGCCGAGGGTCGTATCGCCACCAGAAGAATCTTTAGATACCGATACGGTGGTGGATAGTCTCATCGATACTTCCGATACGAGTTCATTACCAGGCGATCAATTAGATTCTACACGAAACGGTTCAATCTCTCCGGATGCATTAGCGGAAAGGTAAACTTAAATAAAGTGCGAATAGAAAATGTTAATACAATCTCCTTGCATGGAGCCATACTCTCCATTTTCCTCGGGTTTAAAGAAGAACAGGGTCAAAATAGACCCTTAGAGTAGCAGGGTCAAAATAGACCCTTAGAGCAGGGTCGAAATAGACCCGTAGAGAAGGGTCAAAACAGACCCATAGAACAGGGTCGAAATAGACCCTTAGAACAGGGTCAAAATAGACCCGAGACTAAATAACTACTTCCTGATTTCTTATCTAAAATAGTCACTCACTTTTGGATATCGTTTTTTGACCGTAAAATATAAAAGTGCTTACTTATGCTAGTTCGTAAGAAGCATTTCCGACGCGGATATCATTGTACTTTTTCAGTGTCACGCTCTATGACGTCGCTTCTCGTCTCGAGATATCTCGATGTTCGTTAATAATATATCGATAAGAGTGCATAACGAGTCAGTTTAATCAGGAAGGTAGGAATATTGTAATTTTCATAGTTTTTAATATCATAAGAAAATATTGATGCTCGTTACGTGTATCCTCTTATGTAACAGAAAGCCAAAGTGGAGAAGCAAATTGGGTTATTAAAAATGTGAGAAGAAAAATCGGAACGTCGAACCGTTTTTAGCGGAACGCCGACTGGACGAGTTAATAGAAGGTGAAGATATAACTGAACAGGAAGCTCGAAAAGCTGTCGAAGGACAAGAGGATATGGACGATATAATAGAAGAAGTAAATACCACGAAAGGTGAAAATTTGGTTAATACCTTTCTTTTACTAGATTTACGGTTATATTTTATTTTTATTTCGTTCCGGTAAAAGTGTAATATTTTAGGCGTTGATTGGCAAAAATGATTTTACAACTTGTAAAAAAACGGCTTTAGGGTCAAAACAGACCCGCAGGAAAGGGTCAAAATAGACCCGTGGAACCGGGTCAAAATGGACCCACAGCGCAGGGTCAAAATAGACCCGTAGAAAAGGGTCAAAATAGACCCGAGACTAAATAACTACTTCCTGATTTCTTATCTATTTTTATTTCGTTCCGGTAAAAGTGTAATATTTTAGGCGTTGATTGGGAAAAATGATTTTCTAACTTGTAAAAAAACGGCTTTAGAAGGCGATCTACATGATTTATTAGCCGAGAAAGAAGAATGAGATTTAAAGATGGGGAAATTGGAAGTTGAAGGTGAACGGTGCCGTAATGAAACGAATATGCATGCCGATACCATGTTGTATGAATTATTGCGTAAGTATTTAAATTTATTCGATAATAAAATGGTGAATGGTTTATGTTGATATCTCTGATAGAAAGGTGTATTTTTATTTCAGTAAATTGCATCTCCGAAGCAGAAGATATTATCGAATATTCATTAAACGGTATCGATAATCCAGCGACGTCAGACCTAACTTGTACTCCTCAATACTCATTAAAAGTGCAATACACGTTGCATATGTTTTGGGTCTTTATTCAATACATGGAAAATCTACATGAAACACATCTATTGATATTGCATCGGGCGATAGTAAGTTACGAAAGTTAAAAAATGTAGAAGAAAAAAAATGAAGAAAGTCATAGATATTATTTTGAATTTTATCGTGTTGTAGAATCGACCGACGAATGTAAACAGTTGGGAGTTGGAAGTTTGGTAGAGGCAGAATTGTTAAGTATGGATAAAGCAATAGAAGAAGCTGGTAATCGAATACAGGTAATCGCATATTACATTTTAGTGTAATATATAAATTGTTTTTATCCATGGTTATGACATATTTTATGATCAGGACATGGTGGAGAAATCTCGCGCTGGTGATTCCGGGTTAAAATTAGAAGTGAACGGAAAAATGTTAGATTCATGTACAGAATTAATGGAAGAAGGAAAGGTACGTCGCTTATTTTGACCGTTAATATTTAATTTATGAATATTAAATATGGAAAGAGATTTTGAATCGTAGGGCACAGCCTCTGGAACCGAATTCTAGAAACGTAACCATCAATGGTCCGAAGGGCTGATATCAGCAGCGAAGGCGGTTGCATTTGGTGGTAATCTTTTATGGTAAGTGTAGAGGATTTATTTCGGTTTTTGTTTGTTATTAAACCGTAAAATTTGTTTACGCGTGTAGAGAAGCAGAGTAAAAGCAATAACTTGGCTGCACTGTCAGAGGCATCGAGAGACGTAACACAAGCAACTGGAAGTGTTGTTGCAATTGCTAAAAACTGTGGCCATCTTGTGGAAGAGAATGGTAATTGTAGTTACTACTCGTTATACACTATTTGGATAAGGATGATAAAGAAAATAAGCGTTAAAGTTGTTAAGTATTAGAAAGAGTGAATATTTTGAACGATTTACAGATGGAGGCACAAGTTGATGTTTTGGAATCGGAAGAAGCTTTGGAGACTGAAAGATTACGTTTAGCTGCTTTACGCCGCTATCATTATCAACTGGAAGGTGAAGAAGAATGATCGGTACGTATTACCGAAGAATATTAAATAATAGACTTTTTGGTTTGTTAAATAATTCGATTGAAATTAAGAATCAAAAGAAATGACAATGTTTCATCGACATGAAGCAGTATCGAAGAAAATGTTTAGAAATGGAAAGTAAAGAGATTCCATTATAAAATAATATATTACGAGAACAGATTTATTTAGGTTGTCCAAAATGAATTATTGTAATCGAATGGCTACAGAAAAGTTACCGTTGAAAATGTAACTGTACCTTTTCTTTAAATGGAAACCTAGAAATGTAGTTTCTTATGTTGTACATAAAAGTACCAACATACTTATGCCCTGAACTTATTCGTTAGGAAGTTATCGAAGATAAATGAACTTGTAAAGTTGCAGTAAGAACGTATGGTTGAGTTATTAGAAAAGTAATGAAATAATGTGGTTTTTCATAAATTAGAATATACATTTGTCCTTTGTTTAAAGTGTATCCTCATCTGGGAAAAGTAGTTGTTATGTAATCGAGCTATCATTTATTTGCTGAAATCGAGAGACAAGTGAGGAAAAAATGAGATCTTTAAACGTTGAAATTCGCAATTTGCATCTTTTTTTTATTTTGAGAGTCATATCAGTATTGTAGTAAAGTAGCGATACATGCATATGTATCGGAAGTTATGAGACGATTTAACTAGTACATATATATGTGGCGTCACCTCCCATGCTCGCCACCAGAGGGCCACCAGATGGGTCGCGCTCTCACAAGTGTTCGAGCGAGCCTCCGTTAGTATATATACACTCGGCGAACGACTTTCTATCCGGGCGTCGGGCTACGGGCGTCGGTTAGGTCGTGGGGGTATTGTCGCGGGGGTTAGGTCGAGCTTACGTTGGGGGGGTTTCGTCGCGGTTAGGTCGCGGATAGGGGCGTATAG